GCCCACAGATTATAAAGACATGAAGTTTATTCGCGTTTCGGTTTGAGTCTGTAGATCTCCGAATATCCAAAGTCAAAAAAGGTTGACGGCGTATCTTCTTATATCGCTCGGCTATTTCACCTTGCATCAAATGACTGTGAACTGTGCTGAACAGCTGAAGTATACTTTTAAATAATTAATAAATATTAATTACTAGTATCTATACTATAGTTAGTTAGTAAGTTGATTGGGATAAACATTTAGAAGATTTTTAATATGAACCAGTCGAATCCTTGCCTTTATCATAGAACAGTGTTCCATTTAAGCTCGCCCATTGACAAATTTAGCAAAGTAGTATTTAAATACAGCAACATATTCACTTCTTTTTATTCACAACCTTCCTTATGTAAAAACATATCCTTTCTTATTAAATTGTACCGCTACACTCTTCTAGTCTTACTTATACACCTCTTCTTATATTTGTAGTACAAAGTCTGTTTCTATTTGTTGTAAATATACAAAAATTGTACGTCGCAAGAACACTTCACTTTTCAACACTAAGCATTCCATTGTGACCTGAAAGCTTTCAAACGCTATTTGGTTCATGCTTAAAGTAAAACATCTTGCAAGAAATTTGCAGCTCTGAAGAAACTTTTCTTATCTCTTAATATATCTGTGCCAGAGCGCTGAATAATTCTAGGGGTGACTATCGGCCTATAGTTCTATGGACCGGCTTCCAGCTTTCCCATATTATCAAATTATTTTTAAATTTTGTGTTGACGTGTTGGTATTTGCGACTATTGTGATGGTATTATTCGTCGGAGTCGGTCAAGGTATATAGTGCTTGATAAGAATAATAATAAAACTATACTATACGTATAAACATAGGCACAACTAAGTAAATATAAATAATTTGTGCAAAGGTGGTCTTGTTGCCTATGGAGATTTTTAGCAGGTAATCTTTGCATGTAAAAAGAAGGAAATATGCAGTGAAATTAACATTTACTTCAAACTTGACATTAACCTATAGAGAAACATGAAATGTGACTTATTCTAAATTGAAAAATTAACTTTTTTCGCAAGTGTATAATTTCATATATAAAATACAGGCAGAAATAATTCGTCGAGAGACACGCAATTACAACACAGGACATTTTTTTACTCACAAATATGAGGAGTCCGTTAAAGGTTATGTTCTTAACAATGAAATACCTGAACCTTCTCCAAGATTTACGAAAGATATTTGTCGAAGAATGCGTCTAAGAAACTCATATTCCGACAATAACTCGCCATTTCAAACATTCAACGCGAGTTTAATTAAAAACCTTATGAATTACTGCACGCGGCGCTATTCTGTGCTCTTGTTTACCCACTGCACGTCTTGTATTAAGGATAATTATTGGTATAAACGTAAAACTAAGACGTTTCGATCTTCTTTGTAGTCTTGCAAAAAAAACAAAAACATCTCAATATTAAGCTTTATCTAAAAAATGTATAACTTTGTACAATAATATTAATATGAGTAATTTAGAGATTAAAACTATAAAAACTGGTAAAAAACTAATCAAAACAAATTAATAAACTTCTCATAAGGTAAAAGTTTATTATAAAAAAAATTGTCCTCTTTTTCCATTGAATGAAGACAACTGTCTTTCAAACTCTTCACCGACTCGTTCACCAAAGTATAATTTAACCCAAACCCAGTGAAAGCCAGTGTAATGACAAGAATAGTTTATTTTATACGCACTGTTTACCTAACCTTCCAATTTCATATTCTGAATTCTTAGTTTCAAATTGAATTTTTGCATTGGTATAATGTTACAGTATCAACAAATTGCACAGTGAGTATACACATTTCATCGTAACAAAATATTTGACGAAGTGCGGCTTCGTCTTCCTCGCGTTTGATGGTTACATACGGAAAGTTATTAATGTGGAACTCCTGTTTGCTGTAGCTTATTTATATACAGACTATGTGATAGGGTAAGATTACAGTAAATATAATGCTACTTTGATTATTTTTAGTCTACGCGAGTAGAACATATTCAAATAGAACACGTTAACGGTTTAAACCGCGATATTAAATTATTTTAACTATGGTTCGACGTTTAGAATGTTTACAGCAGCCGTGACCACAGCTTGCGCGAGAGGTGCTTGTATCAATAGGTTGCAAAAAAAAATCGACAATGACGTGTAGGACTCCGTAGCTCGATTGGTTAGAGCCGAACGATGACGGTTCATGTCCTGCCAGAATCGTAATTTTCGATTTTTAACGTAAAGGGCTTAATTAATCACTAGTATAATTCAAATAGAACTAGATAATAATATATTATTGGCAGAGGAGGACAGACAAGCGGGGGGTTCATATGGTGGAAGTTGAAAATACCATAGTCATATAACATTGACGTTTATAGGTATACAAATTTTCCGTATTTTTTTATGAAAGTCGAGTACATAAATACCTCAGCTATACACTCCGATGAGTATTGTCTGTAGTTTACGCAAGTAGTACACATTTAAATAACACAGGCGGTTTAAAACCGCCACGACCACTATTGCTTCAAAGCAACGTCTTGGCCTAAACCTTAAAATAAGTTTACCAATATATTACGTGTTTTAAAAAGTTAAATGCGTTTTATACAAATGTCTCAACAAGATCCGATCCATTTTGGCTTTGGATATTCGGATAACAAATCCAAAGCCATAATAGGCACTACCCGATCCAATTCTGCTTCTTCGTTTTATTAGTTTGTAACATTTTTGTAGTAGAATTGGTAATTTAAAATTGTAATTTGGTGAAATTCTCACGTTTTTATGATAATTTGTTATGCAAATTAGTAATTGAATATTTTTACGTCAATTATTGTATTGGTCGTATTTTTACTTAACAAAGCAAAAAAATACTTAAAATTTCCTAATATTTAACATAATACAAGGAAATGTGTTCTATATTTTTATAGAAATATTTAAATATATAATATATAGTGCATTCTTTAACGTTAGGAAGTAAACAAAATGTTTGAAAACATTAATATTTTTTACATTTTATTGCACATGAAGTGCACTATATAATATATAGAGTTCACTCTAGCTCAATTGGTAGAGACAACACGGAACGCTGACGATGCCGGTTCAAGTCCTGCCCGAGTCGAAAAATTTTTTCAATTTATTTTCGATTTTTAAATTAAACAAAATGTTACTAAGAAATATAACATCTTAGAACTCGTAAAACTATAAAATAGTAAATTACTATTTTTAGTCCTAAACTATTTATTTTCCAAAATTATACTTTTGACTGCCTCCGTAGCTCAATGTTAAACCTATAGTAGTGCGTTTTGTTTCGATTGGGCAGGGCACAGAAGTTTTATCAACCACTACAGTAAATTGGATTCACTAAATCGGACACAGAAGTGTGTCGCACTTGCTCCAAAGCGGGAAACAGAATTCCACAAGGGCTCTTGAAAAGCCATAGAATTTTTCCGAAGCAATCATTAATATTAAGGTAATGAAGTCGACTCGTTAAGGTCAGGGGACTATGGGCTGAAAACACCTCATTTGCATACAATATCCTGCACACTGTAATTGTCGCAGCTAAAGTGTTGAATCAGGTGCTTTCAAATATTTGCTGTGAAACGCTTTCGAGCATTTAAATCATTTTATAAATAAATAATTATTAATTTACATTGGAATTCGTATTATCTACTATGTTTATAATAGGTACATTTCACTTCAAAGCTATAGAAATCTATTATAACAACTTCTATACAACGCTTAAATAAAACACTTTAACGGTTTAAAACGCAATGAATATTAGTTAATATTAATTAAAAATTATATTAACTACGGCCAGGCATTTCGGATGCTCTAAAACAATTTTCAAATAAGTTTAACTTATATATATCCCGTTATAAACCGTTAAAGTGTTTTATTTAAATGTGTACTACTATTGTAAACTACAAACAGTATTCTAACGCCTTATTAAATAAATATTAGCAATAATAATTAGCTCAAATAAAAGTTACTACCTACCTACTTTGTTTAAGTCAGCACTCCGCTCTCAATAGTCGTCTTCACTTACGTTTTTAAAAAACATTTAAGATGTAATTCACTAATGCTACTTGTAACCGAAAACCGGCACTGGTATTAAAACTAGTTAATTTAACAAATTATAAAGTTCCTGAACTAGCTGTGACATAGTGTAGACTGAAATTGACACTCTCTGTACAGCGTGTTCCAACTATAACGAACTTAGTGCATGATGAGATGGGCTAGCGCAGGCTTAAGTTAATTACTATTTTAATTAATTATACACTCTGACACATGACGATGACAATATAAATAATTTTGTCTATATTTAAAATGTATTTCAATATCAACACTTACCTAATTAAAAAAAGAAAGACTTATTTGGGTTAGATTTTTAGACAATCCACAGACGCAAACCGAAACGCCATTAAACTTCTAGCTTTCCCATTCCGAATTATGACCGCCCATTGACTTCAGATTTCCATATGAAGTTCAGAAAAATTAAACATTGATGAGAAACATTTTGTAACCGGTAAGAATTTAGTTTTTTTTATTTTGTAAGGGATCGAATCCATAACCCGTTGATCTGATTTTGGACAACTAACGTTCAGTGGCAAACACATTTCAATTTCTGTCTGTTTATCTGATCGATTTTATTTACAAGTTGATCAGACCTTAGTGTTAGTTTCCCCGGCTTCGAACATCCTGCTGGGCAATATCAGAACTACGGGGCTGTATATTATTGAATTCTTAAAATAAGGGTTATATGAAAACATTGGGGTCTGTAGCTATGAATTATGATATAACTATATACAATTTGAAGATAATAAGTTCTAAAGAGAAGTTCTCATCAATCCGTTCGTGATACGTGAGTTTCGAGTCGGGTACGGGATTAAGTTTACGGGACTTTCACGGTACACATCAAAAGAGCCGAACGTCAATGTCAGGCTGGAGAAAACTTGCGGATTATTCAAAGGCGCCTTTGCGCATACGACATGCGACTGGTGAGCTGTACGATTCGACTCAAACGTCGGTAGTAATATGGCAGCTTATAATATGTACTTATTTTAAAATGAAATTGTTGACAGTATAAACAGTACACGTATACATGTTTAAGAACTGCGTTAAAATATATGGCCGGAGACAGAAGCTCTCAATAACAAAAAAACTTTTCAACTTCTAAAAATCTAATTTTTACTCTTTGTTTCTCGTGTATCTACTTGTTATAATTATGCAATAATTATTTTTAAAAGTACAGCTCGAAAAAGAAATCGGTTGATGCAAAAGGATTTTCTCTGTATTTGATAGTCTCGCAACAATATTTCAAAACTCTCGAGTGCGATGTTTGAATATTTTTCTTTGCTAAAGAAATTATTTCATATAATTAATAACGCCATAATTTATTTTCAGTAAACATTTTAGGTTTTGTATTTGACTTCTTAATCTACATAAATCGCTATTTTAATAAATAATCACATTGGTAGACTACCCGGCATTAAAAAAATACGGAGAGGTCTCAAACTGAGATACTGTGTGCATGGCTAGTGATATGGGCTTCAGCCTTACTCAATTCATCAACAGTTTTAAATCTAAAATAAAATATTTTATTGTAACTATAATAATATTTCCAAATGAAAGATGGTTATTAAAGGGAATTAATAGTTTCTATAAAAAACTATTATATTAATTAGAGTAGATAAATAGAGATTTAATTTGATTTTCTTAAAAATACATAAAATACGTAAATGAGTTATTGGAAATTGATGTGCATTAAAACTTACGAACCAAGATTCTAGCAAATGTTATGATTTCTAAAAGCCCTTCGATATGACAAAGAAATACAATGGTGGAACAACCTGTATAAACATTTTTTAATTAATCGTTTTATAAACATCAAACGCGCCTCTATTTCGACCAGACGCGAAGTGGTGTCCGCCCGGTGTCCACGTTCTATTCCCGACTAATAAGTTATTTGTCATATTCTGTATTCCAAGGTGAGTGAATATTTATTAGTACTTTGATATGAACATATATTAGGATGTTTCACATAACGGTATAGCATAAACAGATCGACATTTTTAGTTAAATTTAGCGTAGTTTAGGTTTTACTACATGGCTAAGAGTAAAGACTTTATATCTTTCTATCTTCTTCTCATACGATATGACAGATTTTTGGTACTTCTAGAAATAGGCTAGACTATTTTATGTTTTCCTAAATGGTACAAATCTAGAAAAGACTGTTACGAATGAACCTAGTCTGTCTGTTGCGGGTATACACAAAAAGCTATGAAAAATTCACCAAATTGTAGAGTTGTTTCGCAACTTTTCACATAACTTTTGGAAATTCATAACCTAGTTACGTTTTTTTACCTCAAGTTGTTACAACTGTAATAAACTTTTCATGCCATGGTAGAACGGAAAAACGGTATGCATAATTTATAAGTTATTTAATATGCAAGACATTATACAACATGTATAACCATTGTAGTTGAAATTTATACATTTGAAATCTATGTTATAATAGTATCATAGAATAACTGAAATAGTATATATAAATAATAGGTCGATTTTCGACCTACAAAAATATTTGACTTAAGCCTCAAACCTCCTCCCGACTTAAACTGAAGTAGTTCTAACGCTCAAAAAGAATGCTGTCTTATAAACTAAAGAAAGAAGAAGACACGACTTTAGATATACTCAGTAGATATAATCAAAAAGCTAGTTCCAAAATTGGGAAATTTTAATTCCAAAATGAAGGCTTTATAATCATTATGCCATTCAGTTTCAATAGTATGCCTTTTTCACTTCACCGTACAGAACACGGCTTTGGATAGTCGCCAATACCATGTAAAGGTTAGATGGATTTATTGAACTTTTAAGGGATTTTTTAGACTTCTTGTGACGTAAATTGTCATGGTAAGCCATTGTGGATTAAAGTTCACGGTAAATAGGGTTTAAAAATTATCTGAAAAAGCTACTAAATACAACGAGACAAAATATACGAGTACGCATGCGATAGAGAGAGATAGCATAACGACATAGTAACGGGAAACTAGAATAACTCAATACGAATGTGACAAAAGTAAAATAGATAAAATCGCATTCTATTTTTGTTTTAAACTTATGATCATCAGATAATATATTATATGTTCAATTCTCTCACTTTGAATTTGGTATGTCTTAGCACAAAAATAATTATTATTGTGTCAACTTTATAACTAGAATTTAACAGTATACACTGATAGATCAGTGAAAATAACCTTGTATAGCTATAATATAAAGTAGAATAACAAGTCACGTACGATTAATCTATCGATTATTTTATTCAAGAAAAGGTTATTTCAATATAAAATTGTAAAACACCAAGCAACACTATGAAAAACTATTAATCACTTTCAAATATTGTTTAAATCGTATTTTGTTGATAAATTATTCAAGCGTATGCGCATTCAAATCGTTATGTGCATAATAAATTGATTCTAAATTTTAAATGAAGGGTCGCAATGTCAAGATAACGGCTTAGCTGCGTATGATAGTGAATTCGTAGGTATGGATTACTACATGTTACAGGACGTCATTGGATTTTTACGATTCCGTTGCTAAAGGGCAAGCTTGGATAATATTACTTACACCGGGAAGTTAAAAAAACGGAATAAAACAAATAATAAATAAAGAAGATTTTATACAAACGTACTATTTTATACACAATTAGGTTGGCCGAAATCTCCTTCTTTATAATAAATGTCTACAGTTATAAACTTTACTAAAGTTCATATGATGGCTGGTTCGTGCAATAGCGCGGAACGTTGTGGACACCGGTTCAAGACCTGTCCGTACCGTAAATGTTTTTTATTTACTAAATTTGGTATTTTTTTTAGATGGCACCGATATTAGTGTCAGAGGATCGTCTAACATCCGGACACCGGTTGTCTCACCCACCCCCCGGAGACGAGGTCCTCGTCACCGGAATATCCGGGTACTTCCCCGATTCAGACTCCGTTATACATTTGCAGGAGAACTTATTTAATAAGGTATGTACAATAGTGGACCCCATCGATAGATTCCGAGTAACGACCTTCGGTGAAGGAGTTAGCCAGAACACGAAGAAGCCCAAACGCGTGTTATTATTCGTCATTAGTAAAAAAAAAACATTTTTACATGAAATTAATCAGATATTTTTTTTTTAACTGTTATAAGGATTAGATTTAAAAAAGTCTTCAATTCGCAATGAACATTCGTCACAGACATGAATCGTATATAGCAACTACCTATAGCATCGCTAACAAATTATTACTAATGAGGCAAGACGTAATAGCATATAAACTTTAAGCTTTATAGCAAAAATATATTGTTACAAGCCTAATGTTTTTAGTGCATAAAGACCTACATTCGAATCCAGTGAAACAATTACATACTATAATTTCGCGATAGCACATTCCTTACTCGCTTCTTTAAAAGCAATTCATATTAAAAATGTAATATTATAAAATAATGCGCTTTCTTTATATCTCTATTATGAAAATGCCAATAAATCGACTGACAAAAATATTTTCAGTATCTGATATGAAACTTAAAATATTTTTACAATTAAAATTAAAATGTAATAATTTAAATTATTTTCTAAATGCCTTCTATATGTCTAGGTCGATCTGATCTCCGGAGATGGACGTCGTTGGAAGCTCACGCACCCTGAAATCCCCCAAAGGACCGGCAAAGTGAACAATGTCAACAAGTTTGACGCATCCTTCTTCGGCGTGCACTTCAAACAGGCCCACACCATGGACCCTATGTGCAGAATTCTTCTAGAGAAGGCATATGAAGCAGTTATTGATGCCGGTAAGTTGATTCTTCTTGAAAATGAATTCTTCTTCAAATTCTTCTTGAAATTGTCTGACAATTCAATTAAAACAATTTCAAGCAAAAGAACTGGCTACACAGCGCAAAGTGTATCTTACACAAACCATTTGGTGGCACTTTCAACTCTATAACTTTAAACCCAATATAAAGTTATAGTGATATGAAGGTGAAAAAAACCAATAAAGCAAAGAAATAGAATTTATGAGAGTATCATAATAGAGTTCATAATATTATTTTGTTCCTATAAGTTCATACTTGGATTTTGCTTAGACCATGGTACTCATTATGATCTCCACTATTCCATTCATCCATATTTTTTGTATTGAACATTTTTACATTTGTTTTCGATAGGATAAGATAAAAAAGCAAAGTCAGTGAGCATTAACACTTTTAGTCATAACATTAGAAATTATGAGAAAAGACAAAAAACAAAGGCAACTCAAGTCAATCTCGAAGGGTTTCGTAACTTTGACTAGACTAAATTTTACATTGCAACCTTGTCTTAGTTATTTCAAGCGTCCGTTTGTTGTTGTATGGTATAGCGTTTTTAGTATGGCAACAGAAATACAGGAAGTGTGTATCTACGGAAACCTGTGAACAAGACTAAAAACCCTGCGGCGTATAGAACAGATACAAACGATAATAAAAAAAAACCCTTTTGCCAAACTGTTATAGAAAATATTTTACTTACCCTTATTAACACGATAAGCGTTTAGTATGCGTATTAAAGAGGCCCCGATGTCTAATTTTTAGGTCAAAAAAATGTACGAAATATTTTTCAAGCGAAAAACCTGTTCATTTTAATTTGACATTACATCTGGTGCGCGTGTCGTCGCAAAAATTTGCAAAGAAAAAAGTTCCCGAAAAAGCGAAAAGGGCGAAACGTTATTCGGACCGAATAATATCGCGGCGAACCTGAAATTGTATTGTCTGTATGTGTACCGACGAAATTACTTTACTCCGCCGTGCCGCTTATCACACCATTGTATCTGACATAATGTCCATGATAAAAATAATTGTCTTTGACCTGGATAACGTTATAGGCCGGGGGTTTTAAACCAGAAGAAATAAATTATGTACATACCTATACTTATTAGTTATTACATTAAAGCACAAACATTAAATTAATAGAATGTTCATTTACACTAGCTTATATCGTATTGTCTCTAATTAACGCGAGTTGTACTCATTTAAATAAAACACTTTTAAAACGCGAAATTAGTTAACTAAATTTTAATATATTTTAAATAATAATACGCGCTTTCGATCCATTTTTGGCTTTGGATATTCAAAAATCTAGATTAAAACTTCACTTTTTTTTATCTGTGCGCGGTGGCTCTATATTCCTACCACCCATTTAATATTTACGATTTATAGACGACGTCCAACATCTTTAAAAAAAATTGATTAGGAACACTTTTTGAACCCACGACCCATTTGTAAACCGACATACTAACGAGCCCGTCAAAATATCTCGTGTTTGATTAAATTAGAAGTATAACATTAATATCACTAACATAATATGATGTGGCTGTAAGACTAGTACATATAAAGGAACTGTTGCGTGGTTCATCATTTTAAAATATACCACTTCGTATAGAATAAAGGATGTCTCGTGCTTACTCTGAAACTAGTTTTAAAGGCTTAAAATTTTTAACGTGTAAGCTCAAAGCTCGTAACGCTGTTAGCTTCCTCCCGGGAAATTATTATTAATTATATCCTAACTAGCTGGACTGTCCGAGAGCTAATGGACTTAAAAGTCCACACAACTTCGTACAGTTGCCTTTTATGGGCGAAGCGACATTCTCATAAAAATACATAGTACAAGTCCATCTATTGTTTTATGTGGTGTTATATTGTTATATAATTGTTATAATAAAATGTTGCTTTACTGGCACAAATATAAAAATATACAAACAAGCATAAATACTTTAATGAAGCTGAGGAATTTTAACGGTTTAAAAGGCAAATAATACGCTATCTGAAAACATAAGGACAATACAAGAAGCGGCAAGTGTTTCCATGACTGTGTCTCCTCAAATATAACATAATTCAATAAATTGTTTTACAGTTTTACGGTTTGAAACGCGAAATATATTAGCTTGTTTAGAATTTGATTTAATTACGACCCGAAGTTTCAGATGTTTTGCAGCAGTCACGGTCACGGAAGGATCGTTAAAAGTTAATATGTAGATACTACTCGCGCTAAGTACAGACAACATTTTGACCATCATTTTTAATATTGTTACATTACAGTGTAAATGCGGTCTTTGATCTACAAGTACAACCGGTCTTTTCTTTCGCCAGTAATGAGTACAATTTATCTGATCCGAAAATTTCGTTTTGTGGATTAAATTCGTTCGGGTCATTGGATGTATCAATGATAAGGATGTCGACCATTTTGAGATTGCTACCTTTTAGACGATTGCTTTGTTTCTATATGAATTAGAATACTAGATCCCATCAAAATTATCTCGGCTTTAAAGATAATGTACTTTGAAGTTTTCGTATGCTTTTGCATTTAATTAATAAGATTAAAGTAATAAATATTTAATTTGCATTAGATGACGAAACAATCTCGAATAATCGTGTCATATATAATAGTACTAGCAAACGTTTTATTGTCATGTAAATTATTTAATGTAAGGATGTAGCATATGAGTAAAAAAGGAAAACCTCTAAAAAAAATAACAAAATGACATTAAAATCAGTTTAGCCGTTTTGGAGAAGTTTACGTACATTTAAAGGATAAAGAAACAACGTTTTAGCACAACTTAGAGGTTTGTGACCATGCAAATGTTGAAAGATCTCTATCAGTGAATGAAATTTGAATAATTCATACGCATTGGCGAATCAACGGAATTATTCATTGTTGTTTGAATATTTGCTAACATTTCTAAAGCTATGTGCTATGCAGAGGCAATCACAATCATGAAGCTGCAATATTCGTAATTGGTACTTAATAATGTTCGGAAATTCATCTTTATTAATGAACAGATAGCTAACAACAACTGTATGAAAGCTTTTTACATTTGTAGTAGTGTCATGGAAAACGGGATGTAACCAGTTCGCTACTTACCTAGTTATTGCCAGTGACTGTAGATACAGTGGCCCAGTCTCCTCTAGTAGCTGTCATCTCTTGTAATTAGACCTTAAACCGTTATCATCACTATAAACTCAACTATTTTTGTATCGATGGTCACAAAAAAAACACCAATATGATTAAACTACAAAACACCTTAATTTTATTAAGTCCACAGGCAATAAAAATTTTTCATACATTTTAACACACCTCTTAAAAATCTGTGGTAAACAATAATTCAAAATTCAATTCAGTGAAAAGATTTTCCTAAATTTGCTTGTCTATAGTTATACCTGTTTTTTATAACATACTGGCTGGCAAATGGGTTTCCAGCCAGTACGTATGTTATGGCTATCTGTGCTTACTCAGCAGGCTACGAAACGTTCAAATTCAAATGCGGAATTCGAAATTGTACATTCTGCAAATTTATTATCTGTGGTCATTTTCTGTGCTTATTAGTCTATCTATTTTCTGGAAAGGAAATAGAGGTTAATTATTCAATTGAGAGTCTGTGGATTATTAATTAGTGTCAATATATTTATGTTATAGTAGCTTAATTTTTTAAATCGTATATATCTTTACATATTACAAGGTTACTTGAATTATAATATCAGTAAGATAATACAGAAGTTTTGTATTTATTTTATTTTTCGTTTCTTTACGTGAATGTTCAAACTTAGGTAATAATGTAAAATTTTCCCCCTGTCTGTAGTAAAATAATATTGGTCATTTCACATTTATTCGTGTTCCAAATTGTTTCAACATTGCCTATATGTTTCGCATTTCAAGGCGTTAAATAAAATTGTTTAATATGAAACTAGTAAAGAATTGATATGTTTTATAGGTCTCAATCCAAAAGAACTACGCAACACTAAAACAGGAGTTTTTGTCGGCGCGTGCTTTTCGGAATCGGAAAAAACATGGTTCTACGAAAAGATGCAGGTCAACGGATTTGGTGTGACTGGGTATGTACAGATGTGCTAGAATAACTTTGGATCATACATGACAATAACGGTGTCTTAATACCGCATGAGCATTATTTACCGTACATCTTAACGTAATTTAATGTGTTTTTGAACATATATATTTTACGTGTATTTTAATCTGACCCGCCAGAAATTATTATTTTTCCCATAATTCGAACAGAGGACCTTTAGCGCTTGACGCTATTATTACGTAACTGAGAAAATCCTACTATTACCATCGAAACAAACCTACAATTAACGAAGAATAACTTCTAAACAATGTCTAAATATAATTAGCGAAGCATTTTCGTCCGAAGCATTTCTACAAAGTTTAGATGGATTTTAACTACAGCCATCAATTAGCGAAGGCTGATTTAACAATGAGTAGGAGCACTATTTTACAACCAATACATTCCGAACAAGTTCAAACTAAATTCTCAGAAAGAAAAGTCGTCTTTTGTAGTAGAGTTGTAAGGCGTTGGTAGCTCAAAAGTTGACGACTATAGCCTGAAGGCCCGAGCCTTTTATTTTTACATATCCTAGACTGTTGCAACTTGTACAGCATATATTTTTAATTTAATATTGTAACGTAGAAAGTTTCATTGCTATATGACTCTGATTCATGGAGTTATAGCAAATTCGGCGTAATCAGAGGCTGGACTAACACAAGTTGTGTAGCATCGCATTGTAAAGTACTGACTGACATAACATTAAAAATATACAAGTAAGTAACGGCTGGTTCTGTAGATATATTGTGTAAGGCCTCCACGGCCATATCATTGTTTTTCGGGCTGTTCGCCCGTCGTAAGCGGGGAGAGGTTCTCGACGTTTCGCCATCACAAGCGGACGGCATCATCAGGAGATGTTGTAAGCTCCTCGATTTCTTGAAGAATTATGATAATTCTTTCTAATGTGTCTGTAGATATTTAATACTTGTTCTCACTCAAATACATCAGTTATTTAGACAGAATTTTGTCGGATGCTGGTATATTCTTCCGAATAACTTTAGCCTTCGTGGTGTAATCTGTAAATCGTCTAGCGTCGGATAGTTCGAGAAATTCGTTGAAATTCAACAAAGAACCGATCGGTACTTAAGTATATTAAAATCAACTTTTTGAATATGCAATCTCGATAAAATGTTTGAACGTGGAAGAGCCATTCGGTTGATTCATTCGCGAGTTGAGAGCAAAAGGTTTATTGGTTTCAATTCATATATATTCTAACACACTCTTACTATATTAAATATATACATAAATATACAAACGTTATAAGTTTCGAAATCTATGTAACAAACTGTGTCTGCGACTTCGTCCGCGCAATTCCTTCTTCATAATAAGTTTAACCCACGACGTCGGTCGCGTCCCGTTGTTCTTGCAAGTTTATCTTAAAAGATAGGCGTATATTGTCGCGGATGTATTTTTAAATAATTTAAAGAGGAATTATTCCACATATTTTTTGCATATCTTTAAAACCGTTTTTGCAGCGAACGTGTCGGAAACTCGGAAAGCTTAATAAGTTTTCCATTTTCCCGTTGTTTCTTCGCATCTATTAGTCAGCGCAATGTTACCTAGATATTTTTTTAAATTCGAACTAGCAGTTCCTGATATTACCGCGTTCAAACAAACAAACTCTTCAGCTTTATATATTAGTATAGATAAGGTGCTGATGACTCTGAATTAATAGATAAACTCGAATGGACTGGATATATAATAAAATAAAGTTATAGGTATACAACATGAACATATTCTAAATCAAGTGTATAGCTTTATTAAAGAATGAAATTTCTTCATAACGAAGGAATACGGGAGACGATAATATCATTTATGGCCCAAGGGGCGGACTTCTGTTATCAGTATCGGGTAGTTAATTGAATTTTGCGTGATAATCTATTTTCAGATGTTTTGAGTTCTTTTGTATTTCTTGAATATGTACCTTAAAAGTTAATACAAATAGGACACTTACTTTTAAATAATAAAATAAATGTTTTGTTTTATGCAAATGAAGTAATTAAGTGCTCATATAAAACCACGTTCTTAACTTATAACTTGAGATTACTTACTACTACTATTTATTAAGTTAAGAGGTAAAAGGTTTATGAATCCAATTATGTTATTGATGAAGAAAAATATTAGGATAAATTTATAAAACAACATACCACGTTTGTATCATAGGCGATAACACAACAACGAGCCGATTCAATACGAAATACTAAATAGTGCCAAGTCAAAAATAAGTTGAAAATTTTAGTACATAAAAAAATAACATGACAAATATATATTTTATTTGTATGACATATTAAATAGATGTTCAAACGGTTTTAAAATTAATTGTTCTACTAAATTCCATCTGTGAACTCGACATATTTTCCATGAATGGAAAGACAGCATTACCTAATCTGGCACCAACATGTGGAAGTTGTCACTTGTAACTAAATATTAACTCCCTAAATACAGACCACTTTCGTAATTTGCCACCACAGCGCTGGTTAATAACTACGGTTTAACTTCACAGTATAATCTCTTTAGACTAAGTTTATGGAACTCGCAAGTACGTGGGCGCCACGGCACTTTCTTATCCGCATTTATGTTCAATTTGACTAATCCTCGCCGTTTGTAACGTCTTATAAATTAATATTACTGCAACTGGCAACTCGGGCTTTATTTTTATTCATTGCTTTTTTATTTACTCGTTTAAAGTCAAAAGTAATTTTTACTGCCAGTAAGCAATTATCAACGTTTTAGTTACTGAGTAATAATAAAGGTACTTAAACAATATACACTAGACTAGCTGTGTAAGCGACTTTGTCAGCGTAGAATAGTAATAAAATATTACTATTCAGATTTGTTCACGCCGTCGTCCGCGTCACGTCATCCTAGCTAAAAATAGGAATTAAAAATTAATTAAAAGTTAGTCTTAAAAGATAGGCTTATACTGCTAGAGACATTTTTTAGATCACTTACTCGTATGGAGGAATCATTCTCATATAGCATGCATGCCTATGCTACGCTCATAAATAGCTCATATTGTAAACCGTGTGGTATTTTGTATTGTAAATTGCAGGACGGTGAGGGTAGTACTAAACGCTAGCTTAGTGCAAAAACAAATAACTTCATTTTCTCAGAAATAAATTGCTTGTAAATCGTTGTACAGTTTCAAGATAAGAACTTCAACCAATCGAACTTGCTATCGTATTTTTATTCTTTTTTTTAAATATGGCTATATTGTTTGTTGTTCACAGATGCTCTCGTGCCATGTTAGCCAACCGAATATCCTACTGGTTAGGAGTCACAGGACCATCCTACACAGTAGACTCGGCCTGTTCAAGTTCCCTATATGCCATGGAGCACGCCTTTAGGGCCATTCGCGATGGCCATTGCGACGCGGCCATTGTTGGTGGATCCAACCTCTGTCTTCATCCTTACGTTTCACTGCAGTTCTCGAGGTATGGCTGAGCGATGACTGACGGTAGTTTGAGATATGTTATTTCTACCTACTATAATAATTTAGTTACGCTAGTTAGTGGACGGTACATTCGTTTAGTTTAATATCATGAAGATAAATGCAGATGACAATCTAAATATCATTCAATACGGTTTGTAATTAACTAAATAAAACACTTTTAACGCTTGACGCGAAATGTATATGTTAAACTTATTTACAAATAATTTCAACTACAGCACGACGCTTCAGATGCTTTGCAACCGTCGTGGTCACGGGGAAACATGTAAAGTTTACCTACTACATTCTCGCGTTCTAAGTCGTTAGAAATGTTTTATTTAAATGTAAATAACATTGTTCCATAGGTTAGGAGTGCTGTCACCAGATGGAAGATGCAAGAGTTTCGACAACAGTGCCAATGGTTACGCCCGGTCCGAAGCCATTGTGGTGTGCCTCTTGCAAAAGGCCAAAGACTCGAGAAGGTGGGCCGAATAGCAGCTATGGTTTATTCAAGATTTCCTTAATATTCCTATATGGTTCTGCTAACGAGTAGAAACCTAATGAGAGAGATATATAAACTCAATAAACTGTCAAAGCAGTTAACTGATTATTTCTAAATGACTTCGGTAACCCAATGATTATAAACGTATTAGTATTTCCCGAGAGATTCTAGGTTTGAATCCCGGAGAATTTTTAGTTTCGTTCGAGCAAGACTCAGAAATTCGGTCAAATACTTGCCGGCCACTAGAAATATGTTCTCTCTGTGCCCCATTGGGAAAAGGGTGTTTTACACAGATTTAGAAGTATATAAAAGTTGATCTTACACTTATAGAGTATACGCGCAAGTCCTCCACGCGAAGACGAACTGCGACGGTTACAAGGAGCAGGGAATCACCTACCCAGCTGGTAACATCCAGAAACTACTACTGAACGAGTTCTACGAAGAATGCTCTATTCAGCCGAACACCTTGGAGTTTGTTGAGGCGCACGGAACGGGTAAAACTATGCGGCTTCTTATATTTTGGAAGTATTTTAAAAGTCAATCTTTAATTATACATATGTCACATATAAATAGAGATCGCAAAAAATATTGTACTTGCTTTGTTAAAAATAAAGTAAAAATATACAATATAATATGTCGTGCTTCGGAGAGTATATTTAGCCGTCGGTTCCTGTTACCATCAGAAATTCGATGGCGGTACTCTTTTAAGCCCGCCGACCCGCATTGGAGCAGTGTGGTGGGTCTTAATTTAAAAAAATTCTTTTGACGGAGAAAACTATTTAGCGAGACGTTGATCGTTTGCAATGAAATGTTATTTGGGTTTTGTGACTATTAAATATTTAACCCGTGAATACCGTTTTTCTTGTTTACACATAACACATTACAATGCCTACAAACTAAAAACTCAGATACGACTCTAAAGTAAGGTAAAAGTGTAACATCCCTCTTCTAACCAACCTTATATCATCCAAACAATATAGGGTCGTGTGGGTTTTAATAATGATTGTAAGAACGCAAAAATAATAGAGTTAAGAAAAGTTATTACAAGGAGTTTACCCAAAGCGCTCTGACATAAAATTAAAAAGCTCTTTCATCGTTAACTCGCTATTGTTGGCGGCACAAAGGCGAAGATAAACCGAGAAAAAATTTCATTTGATGTAAAAACAGCACTGGAGGAAACAGCGATTGTTATCTAAACGTGTTTTTAAAATGGGCGGTGCGAGCGGTTCGAGAAAATTAAGTTACAGTGTTGCCAGATAACGGGCTTATATTCAAAGGAGAGGGCGAGTGACGTTACCTTATATCATTATATATACATACGAACAGGAATCGTTTCTCGGAATTTTTTTTTTTTTTTTTTTTTGTCCTTGAATGTTGTGTATAACTTGATATGATATGCGTATACACGTTTGAATTTCGCCATTTATTTTTAAAACCTCAGAATTTAATATAAATATATCCAAATACTTCACAGACATAAATATACAATTGTATATATATCTGGCTAATTCCTTTGAATTTAATATTTGTTTTACATATCTGTAGAGTTCTTTAAAGCAGACCGAGCACTATTTCCCTCTTAGTCTAGTACTATATTGTTTTGATAGTTATCTTAATTTTACTTACCATCATTAGATGTCGTTTTAGTTTCCTAAATAAATATGGTTCCTACCCAAGTTTAGATATCGAGAAACCGTCAAAATCAACCAATCAATAATAAATACATTTCAGGTACCAAGGTCGGTGATCCCGAGGAGTTAGTGGCGATCGACGAAGTCTTCTGCACGGGACGATCAGAGCCTCTTAAGATCGGTTCCATCAAGTCCAATTTGGGGCACAGTGAACCAGCGTCTGGTCTCTGCTCTGTCGCTAAAGTAAGTTGGCTATTTCCGGAACAGGGTTGTATTTACTTTTCTTTCTTAGGAATAGTGTTTATGAAAAAAATGAAATTCTAGTCCCATATAATTTTCATTTATCATTTTCAATATTATCTCAAGCTAAATAATGTGTGTAATGATAGTTGTGCGACGGGCTTTGTTGGTGCATTGATAGCAATGTACGCTTAATAGTCATTAGGTCGTTGCATTGATCCTCACCGGGTCTAACATTTTTTAATCAATTTATAATTTTTCTGAAACATGTTAAAGTTTGTCTGGAAATCTGGATATTAAATGGATGGTAGAAATGTCGAAATTCCACTACCACGCACCACTGTCTGCGGCTGTAAAAGCTGTGAAGTTTAATAACATTTCGGTTCAGTCCCTGGATTTCCGAATATCCAAGGACAAAAAAGGTCGACAGCGCATTTTGTTTAGATTCTATAGGCTAGGGTTCACCTACCATCAAGTGAACCCCTACCATTGCGATCCTTCTCTATCATTAAACCATAGTATAGAAACATATAGACATTTAAAAAAACATATATTTAAGCACTTTCATTCAAGCAATTTCATTTGTTCTGAAAATAACTCTAGTTTTTACTTTATGTTATCATAAAATGTATGAATTATAACAATTAATAATCCACTAGTTATTCATTATTATAATCGTATAGAATCAAAATATTTTTTAAAAAGATTAGTACCTAGATTTTTCTAGACTAAGTCTGAACACTTATCCAAACTCTTTTTTTCAGCTATGTATCGCCTACAGCACAGGGTACATCCCACCGAACTTGCACTTCAAGCAGCAGCGTGAAGGCGTCAAAGCCCTGGAAGAAGGTCGCCTTCAAGTCATAACAGAAAAGACCCCTTGGAACAAGGGAATGGCTGGGATCAACTCGTTCGGTTTTGGAGGAGCTAATGCCCACATACTATTGAAGAATATCGCTCGCGCAAAGGTTGGAATCTAGTAAAATATTACCTAATTTTCCAATGTGTCCGACTAAATGAATAATTGTACCTGTACACACAGGTATTATTCCATTTGATGTCATAATTCTACAAACATACTATAGTATTTGTATAATTAGTTTCGATAGATAAATAAAAAATGTGGTTGTAATGACATAGTCCGTTTTACTCATACAAAGAGAATTTTTAAACATACAAACGTATTTTTTGGCTACATTAAATCTGCTCACAAACGCTGGGATAAACCTTCGAAATCACCTGTCTTTATATTTTAACACACGTAATATTTTAACTTTTTATTATTTACCACTCGCCTGCGCCTAATTTGTGAACGTATTCATAACATGATTGAGTAAGTCAGACGGCATACAGACACAGAAATATAAATAATAAAACAGATACGCCTTATTATGGCCGTTTGAATCTACGAAGTTTTATAAAGCTGAAGAGTTTGTTTGTTTGTATGATTGAACGCGCTAATCTTAGCAACAAACTGGTTCGAATTGAAAAATTATTTTTTGTGTTGGGTAGAGCATTTATCGAGGAAGGCTATAGAGTGCTATAACACATCGCGATGTGACAAATAAGAAGAAACAGCGGGAAAAGTGTAAAAAACTTGGAAAATATTCATCTTAGAAGGTTTCCAATCCGTACACTACGAAAACGGTTCAAGATACCCAAATAATATGTATATTATAAGATTACTTACTTAAACGAAAATACTGACTCAAACGACTTTTAATATTTTGGAGAAAATTTATCAATTTTTATTACAATTCAATCAGGTCAACGATGGTCTACCAAACGACGACCTGCCACGTCTAGTTTGTACATCAGGACGAACTGAATCTGCCGTGGCCAAGATTTTGGACGACTTAGAGTCTAGGACGGTGGATGTTGAGTTAGTGAGGCTGTACCATTCGATCCACAATGAGGACATTGGCGGCCATGTTGTGAGAGGGTACACTTTACTGGGTGAGTTCTAAATTCATGTAAAGAAAACTGTTTTTAGTGTTTTTGATTATCTAGTGAAATGTACAATTTATTTCTACCTCCTCAATCCTAGTCAAAGTTAATTCTCTGAAATTGTAAGCGTCATTAAAAATTAAATAACAGACATTATTTATTGGTTTTCGTATTCTCTTAAACAATTGCGAACATAACAAAAAATATGTATCTTTAAACAAATACGATAAAAATTACTATAAAAACGTGGTTTAGCGTTTTATGTTCACCGTTGTAGATTCGAGAAAAACGTAGAGATATAGTTATCTCACTTATTTACTGAATACTTTTATCCAGGTTCGACCCCAACTAAATCTGTGTCTCTCGCTCGTGACATCCAATATTTCTCGGGAGTCCGCCGTCCAGTCTGGTTCGTGTACAGCGGAATGGGTTCCCAATGGGCCGGCATGGCCACTCAGCTCATGAGGATCCCGGTCTTTGCTGCCGCCATTCATAAGTAAGCTTATCGATCAAAGGTTATTTTGAAAAGGTCTTTACAAGCACAGGTTTTGATGCATAAAGTATGTTTCTAAATGAAATGAAATTTATTATTAAACTTACATTTTTTTATAACACGATATATAGCACTTTATTACTAATTAGAAATCGATGATAAATAGAAAAAAAATACTTCACGGTCAGGTCTTGAACCAACCTTAATGAGCAAGTGTTAAGGTTGAAATTACACCAATTGGAAGCCGGTTCAAATCCTGCCCGTGTTGTTAAATTTTTGAAACTAATATAAGGTTTGCAATTTATATGGTGCCATCAAGTGCATGTGAAAATATAAAAGTTTTCGACGTGTGGTCTGTTATCCTGCTAAAAGTCGAAAATATCAACAATATTTCTACCCTTATCATAATGCTAATCAGTTACATTCTTCTTGCAACAGGTGCCACAAGGCTCTGGAGCCGAAAGGCATCAATCTAATTAAAGTCATCACAGAACCGGACCCCAAAATCTACAACAACATTCTTAACTCTTTCATTGGAATCGCCGCCGTACAAATTGGTCTCACAGACGTCTTGAAGACCATCGGCATTGAACCAGATTACATTATTGGTAAGTTTGAACAACTAGAGTATGATGAATGAACTATTTCTCAGTTCTTACATTGTAAGAAAAAAGATATGTATGTTATAGAATATAAGAAATAATAAAATTAAACAATTATTGACTCATAGGACACAGTGTTGGTGAGTTGGGCTGCGCATACGCAGATGGTTGTTTCACGGCGGAGCAAATGATCCTATCGGCTTATAGCCGTGGTCTTGCCTCCGTGGAGACTCCATTCATCAAGGGCTCAATGGCTGCAGTCGGAATGGGTTACAACCAGGTAAATATGTTTTTATGTAAATACATTTTACTGTCGGTAAAATCTTTAAAAAATAATAATAAGTCAGACAGAGCATTTAAATCAATTACATCTCATCATAAAGAACGTCAAATGGTTTTTCCTTTTCTTTGAAGTCCGAATGGCACTAAAGCTGGCATGGCATGACAATGGCATTAAAGCTTATTTATTATTATATTAATCACAGATTTATTTAGTACTGATCTTAAAAAAATCTATTTGAACAAGTAAACTTACTAGTAGTTTTTTTTCTAGATCAAATCCTTATGCCCACCTGAGATCGAAGTGGCGTGCCATAACGGCCCGGATTCCAGCACCATCTCCGGTCCTGCTGATATCATGAAGAGCTTCGTCGCCAACTTGGTGGAGAAGGGAGTGTTCGCTAAGGAAGTTCCTTGCTCCAATATCGCTTATCACTCAAGATATATAGCCGAAGCAGGTATGACTGTTTTTATATGAGATTAGAGGAAAGAATTAAAATACTGAACCCTAACGAAGAAAACGTCTTACGACACGGGCAATACTTGAACCGGCATCAACGGCATCCCATGCTTGCTTTAACCAATAGACACGGTAGCTCATATTATGCTATTATGAAACAATATTAAAGTTTTCATAATAAAATCTTACTAATTATTATCGAATTTCCAAAACTTGCGCTTGACCTGTGAAAGTTAACAAGTGCTTGTTTCCTAGGTCCAAAACTATTAAAATACTTGAAGGAAGTCATTCCTGACCCCAAACCACGTTCAGAGAAATGGGTATCCACTTCCGTTCCTCAAGCCTTGTGGAAGGACGCTAAAGCTGAGTTCTCGTCTGCTGAATACCACACTAACAATTTGTTGGTAAGTGTACTGTACCAATAGTACAGTATTTATTACTGTATCATATATAAGCAATTAGAAGAGAAAATTAATATAATTATATATACATTAAAAGTAAGAACGGTTATTACTTTATACCTAATTTATGTAATGTATACAAATATATGTACGCACTTTTTTCATGTGTGTACGGTGGTTTATGACACGAACGGAATTTACAATATTCCTACCATTAGACTAACGAGCCTGCCAAATATTTTTTTAGAAAAATAATCATCTTTTTAATAAACCTTATTCTATTATAGAGTCCAGTTCTTTTCGAAGAAACATCTCGCCTAATCCACCACAACGCGCTAACAATAGAAATAGCGCCGCATGGTCTTCTTCAGGCGATTTTGAGGAGATCTCTCAAGAAGGACGTACTTAATATACCTCTGACCCAGAAGAACGAGGACAATGTTACAGTTCTGTTCAATGCTTTGGGCAAGTGAGTATCAGTGCATGTTTCGGATATTAGAAATAATTAATGATAATATTAAAACAGGTAAATAATATAATATTTTAAATATTTAGAACTAAGATAAATGACGTTTATCAATGTTTTTCGGGCTGTTCGGTCGACGTGAGCGAAAAGAGGTTCTCGACGTTTCGCCCTCACGAGCGGATGAGATCATCAGGAGATGTTGTTAGCTCTTCGATTACTCGAAGAATCGATTCTAAACAATAATATGCTGAACGATGGCCGTGAAAGCCTTAACCCATTTATAAATAATGTTGTTGTTGTAAATAATATAACTGGAAACGAACCTACGACTTATTTAAACCCGATATTGTTGTGACTTAGTGAATAGGCTAGTAGTAGTACTTAGTAGACACGTTATTTTTAATAAAATTCTATAACAGAATTATGTCTATATCTTTTTTTTTTCAATCACAAATTATATCGATCGTGTAATCACACATTATTGCACAATGCAGGTTGTATGAAGCCGGTTTAAACCCGAAGTTAGCTGAAATATATCCTCAAGTCCAATTCCCGGTTTCCCTCGGGACCCCAATGATCTCTCATCTCGTGGAGTGGGAGCACAGCGAAGACTGGTAAGTACGTCTACTTCGTGGAAAAACTTTTAACGAGGCATTTTTCTCATAGCAATAATATATTTTTATAGTTAAGTAGTTTATGCAATGCACAAACATTGTTTTAAATTATTTATTTAAAGGATGAAAACCACATCCATTGTTGTTTATTAGCTTCGCTTAAATGTACAGATAATAAACATAAGTTGTCACATTATGTAATATAGGACTGACTGTTCCATTTTTGATGATTGTTGTAAAGACTAACTATATACTGTCTGTGGTTTCACGCGAGTAGTACGCATTTATATAAAATACTTTAATTGTTTTAAACGCGAAATATATTACTTAAACTTATTTGTAAATTCTTTTAATTACGGCCCGACGTTTCGGATGTTTTGCAGCAGCCGTTGTCACGGGGCCTCCTTGATTTCGAAGATGTTCAAATAAGTTTATCTAACATATATCGCGTTTCAAACCGTTAGTGTTTTATTTAAAAATACTAATAATAAATACGGATTGGACCGGATCCGACTTCCAAGTCAAAAGACAAAAACATGTGACGTGTGTTTGTTCGTTCTTCAAATCCTAATTTACTGTTTGTTTACTGTTAGTTAGTCGTGAAGCCGTAGATTTGTATGGCTGCTGGTAATACACTACTACTCTATATATCTATCTGAATATAACAAATAATATTATGTTATGACCTGAATCCGACATCGGAAAATTGACCTAACCACATAATATATCGGTTGAAGCGAAAAACGAGCTGGTATCCCATTTTTCATCACTTATTGCGAAGCTCCATAGGTCACCGCAAACTCTTTACGGTGTACCAAAACTGGTTCACTAGTTTAAGAGCACATTCTAACCAGCGCAAGTTTTTCAAGACAATACTTTTATTAACTGCTTTTTAGTGCTGTCTGGTAAACATTAAATACTCGTATAATATTACTCTCTTTTGACACACTTATTTGTCGTGTCTGTAGGTCATACATTGCTACGCCTAAAAGTATCACAATCAAAGGGTAATTTAGATTCTCATTGGGTTCAACATATTTCTAAAAATCATTTATGATTTTTCTGTCATGGTCTTTAGGTATTAACATACAATGCCAAAATAGGTCAACCTATACTGGTCTATCTTCATCTACAATAAACAATACGTGCTTTTAAAAGTATAAATGCACATAATACACTTGTAGTAGAATTGTGCATATCCGATTGTTGACTGTCGAGTGGGGTTTCTGAGATGCTGCAAGACAGATTAAACTATTTCTAACTGGCAGAGCAGTTATTACTCATAGCTTACTTCAGAGTAAAATACTTTTATCAGTCAAAATAACTACAGATAATGCGTTGTTTTGTTTTTGGAACTTCCGCGCTTCAGCTCTTAGACTCTAATGCAATAAAGAGTCCAACTGTTATTAATGGCTGTTCATCAATCAGGAGACCGCAAACAAATAGCTGGGGCTGATCCGCGCGTTCTTTGACTCTCCTACTCTCGATACAAGTATACGATATATACTCGGCTCCCCCCTGCAGCTTCGACCGAGTCATAATTTATCTTTGGAAGTACCTCTTCTCCTTTTCAAGTAGATTGTAAGATCAAATTCCAGTACTTCCCGGGCTCATTGGGAACATACACATCACTATGTAATAAAATTGAAGTTCACTTATATTTGACACTATTTAAGATTAACTATTATATTTTAGTCGTAGAAATGACAGACTGCTTTGTTTTATCAGGTACGTAACATCATACAAAGCTCAAGAGAAGATGAAATCTGGCGAAAGAACAGTAAAGATGTCCATCGCTGATGAGGACAGCGAGTTCATGGCTGGTCACGTCGTTGATGGTAAGAATTATTACTTATATAGTCTAGTTAAAACCTTAAAAAGGTTTAAAAAGTGAAACATAATAGTTGATTTTATATAAACAACTACATACCAACCCGCTAAATGTTTAATTGTATGTGTTTAGGTCGTAACTTATACCCCGCAACCGGATACCTCGTCCTGGTCTGGGAAACCCTCGGTATGATGATGGGAGAGCTCTACACAGAAGTCTCTGTGGTCTTCGAGAATGTTCGGTTCCAGCGTGCCACGCCGATTCCTAAAGAGGGCAACTTGGAGTTTATTATCACCATACAAAAAGGCAGCGGTAACTTTGAGGTTAGTCTTGGTTATATACAAAGACAATTAAAGAGAAAGAAACTTTTGGATCATCATTATTGCTTTTGTTTAAGTAGACGACGTGTTTTTTTGTAAAATATATGTTTATTTCAGATTGTAGAAAGCGGTGCCTCAGTAGTAACGGGTCGTATTTACGCCAAGAAAAACGTAGGAAAAGAGTACAGAGTGCTGCAACCAGCGCTTGAAAGCACCGGATCCAACATCAAACATATGCTGACCAAGGACTTCTACAAGGAGCTGAGACTTAGAGGATACCAATACAGGTATATTTTTTTGTGTTCGCAAAAGTAAAATAAAATAAAAAACCTATAATATATATATGTATATATATATATATACAGTTCAAAATTAGCTCTATAGATGCAATGTGCATTCAACTTGCCTTAGATACATAAAATAGCAGATAAAGCAGCGATAGCGACTAATTATTATCACTTGGCAGTAGTAATCTTAAACATAAAATATAGGTGTTATTGTTTAAGAAACGTTCATTAATCTCAAGACATTTTAAAATGTTTTTAGTGGTCTATTCCGTGGTGTGGTTGGATGTAACATCGAAGGTACGCGAGGTCGTCTCTCCTGGGTCAACAACTGGGTTTCCTTCATGGACTGTATGCTGCAGCTTAGGATTGTGGGTAATGACACTCGCGGTCTCTTCGTCCCGACCAGAATTGAGAAGCTCTGCATCGATGTCAACTTACACTATGACGCTGTGTCCAAAATGAACCCGGATTCAGACAGGCAGTCCTTTGAAATTCGAGTGTACCCAGATGTAGATGTTATCAGGTAAATATAATTTTATTTTTGTCATGTTAAGAAAAAGTATGTAAGAAGAAATACTCACATCGTATAAAAATGTAATTTTAAAGACTTACAAAAGGAGATCTGTAGATCATCCCAAAAACAATTTAAATTAATATACATAAGACTTATGCCTTATGGATTAAATTGGGTGGAATCTTAATCTTCTTATTCTTATGGACTAGATCCGGTGGTGTTGAAATTCGCGGTCTACACGCGTCACCCATATCCAGAAAAATACCTCTTGGGGTCCCCGTATTGGAGAAGAATGTCTTTGTTCCTAACTTCAGCAAAACAAAGATGGCGGTAAGAAATACTTAAATAGGTACTTTTATTTTATGGATCAATAAATTTTACCCGACTTTAATTAAATTTAAAAAACTTTGACAGGTTGAAGACATTTTGAGAGCAGACATCCAAGTGATTCTTGAAAACGTGCAAACATATAAAGTCAAGAGTATTGAGCTTGTCGATGAAGAATACAAAGCGAATGGTTACGAACCACTTCTAGAGAAAGTCGGGGACATATTGGGAGATCTTCCCCTAGTACAGCCAGAACTTCTAGTCATCTCCGAAGAAACGATCGAAATGCCATCCTATATTACTGTTGAAAACAAGAAAGTTTCTGGGGAGAGTAACACAGTTTTGTTTATCGGAGCTAATCTGTTGGGCAGACCAGATGTAAGTAATTCTCTAATTTGAAAATATTATCTATGAAATAACCTATTAAAGAAAGAATATTTAGAAAAATGTTGTTTGTCATTAAAAAAGGTCTTGTTCAAATTTGCTTTCTCATTCGTTTAGATTCTTCAGCAAGCCGTGTCAACACTCCGCGACAAATGCTTTATCATCAGTCGCGAAAAGGAAAGCCCCAACGTCAAAAACTTCGCAGACAAATACGACATCATTACCGTCCAAGACACCGGTCTCGAATACTTTGTGCTCTTTAGAAAGCGAGTCGGTGCTAAGCCGGCTAAATTCATCAAAATCGTCACCGCCGACCAAACGTATTCTTGGATAGACAAAGTCAAGGAGGAACTTAAGGCTGGCCAAAAATTGGTCATTTATAGTGAGGACGAGCATCTCAATGGCCTCTTAGGTCTTGTCAATTGCCTGAGAAGAGAACCAGGAGGTGAGATTGTGTACGGTCTGCTCATCGCTGACCCGTCTGCACCAGCGTTCAATCCGGATCTGGAAATATACGAAGAGCAGTTAGATAAAGATCTGGCTATCAATGTATATCAAGATGTAAGTAGATAATTTAGTCATATAACTGATATGTCGGTTCCGGTTATCATTACCAAATATTATAATAGAATTGTTTATCTACCATAGACCATTTAGGTCAATATTTTTAGATTAACAACCTAGCGTAAAGTTTAGTAAATATTACTTTAAATTTGACATTCTATTAAAGGGCCAATGGGGTACATACCGTCATCTGTTACTTGGTGACCTAGAAACAATTCGCGCCAACCACGCGTTCGTCAACACAGTGACAATTGGTGACTTGTCATCCTTGAAATGGCTCGAAGGGCCCATCAGACCGAACCAGATCTTCAAGAACCCAGAGAGTATTCTGATTCATGTAAGTTATTCGTTTTGTATCAATATTTATTTATATCTATATCTAGTTTATTACATTTAGTATTTTGTTGAGCGCGAGAGTTTTTATGTTTGAATTGAATTGCCGTTAGAATATCACAGTATTCTAACGGAAATTCAAATTTATCTATCTAATCTAAATCTTTCAAAGGAAAATGTGTCTATCCTATGCCCCACATAGGGTAAGCGGGATTACACATATATAATGGGCTTTTTGAAAGTTTTTCAATTATTATATAATACTGTGTATTAGTATTTATGTGTATAATTCTACACATTAGAGAGAATTAGTTGAATTATTATTTCGCAGGTTTATTGTTCAGCGCTGAACTTCCGTGATGTGATGACGGCCATGGGACGTGTCACAGTGGACGCGGTAGCTCGAGGTCGACTCGCCCAGGAGTGTGTGCAAGGATTTGAAGTCGTGGGAAGAACACCTAAGTAAGTGGCAGACGTTAAAACAAAACTGATTAAATGGTAGTCGATATCTCTGAAAATTCTTTTGTTTCTAACGAAACTTGGTTATTATATTAACATTTTTTTTAGCGGTGCTCGTGTGATGGCCATGGTGCCAAACAGCGGTATGGCCAATATGGTCGAGGGAGATCGCGCTCTCGTGTGGAGTATCCCTGACGAGTGGACCTTCGAGGAAGCTGCCACTGTGCCAGTTGCGTATGGTACCGTTTACTACGCCATGGTAAGTTTCATTCTACTATTTTTAATTAAGACTTATTTAGTTTTAATTAGCGCTTTGAATTAGGCTATGCTCCCCCGCCACCACTAACTCTTGTGACTACATTCTATTCCATAGTCTAATTTATACTAGACTAAAGACTCTATGGTTTCTATCTTAATAGAATCAACTTACCTAGGTACCCTTTTATTTCTTGATATAACCAGATAATGTTGTATATAATCGTTATAACGTTAATTAAATAAATTAGTCTGGAGTTCGAATCCAGAAGCTATTGTACAGCTTATTTGTTTATTGTTTACAAGTTATTACTACAACTAAAAAATACATAAATATCTTAAAAATACTTAATACTAAACATATTACCAATAGGGAATTACACAATTAAAAAAAACTATGTATGAGACAATGTATAGGGCACACAAAATAAATAAAAGTAAGATTTTTAACATCCAATTAGAAAATTAAATTTAACGACAAAAAGGCAAATAATTAATTGAGGAATGATATTTTTTTTACTTTATTTTCATATTTTAAGTTATTTATTTAATGTTTGCTAGGTACAGCAGCAGGCACCTTGATAATACATATCGTATTGTATGAAATACTATACCTAAACATAAGCCGATAACGTCTTACACATATATAACTTTACAAGCAGTTTACTGAAGCAGCAAAATTGTTCATACTATTCAGGTAATGGTGGGTCAAATGCAACGCGGTGAGTCCGTCCTCATCCACGCTGGTTCTGGTGGTGTGGGTCAAGCGGCCATCAACGTGGCTTTGCATTACGGCTGTGAGGTCTTCACGACTGTGGGTACGGCTGAGAAGAGGGCGTTCATTAAAAAGCTCTTCCCACAGCTTAAAGGTGCGTGTCAATCTTTCGTTTGTTTTAGATCCCTTATCCCGTAGGTTCACACCTCACCCATTTTCGTTATATATTTTTTTCCCTATATTATTTAGTTATCCATTGACACATTTACGGTACTGTTTGACAGCTGGTTTGAATCCGCACGTGTCATCAAAATATGGATATATAAATATAATATTGTTGTTTTTGGAACAACTTATTAGTTAAAACGGATTATATTCCTTAACTTAGCATATTATTTATTTATTTAATAAGCGATATTAGTTAGCTTATTTTTTACTCTAGCAGCCCCCCGTTTTATATAATCTTATTGGTTGCTATCCACAATAACACATTGGTTCATTTTTTGTCGCACAGACAGCCACATTGGAAACTCTCGTGACACCTCCTTCGAAGACATGATCCGCCGGGAGACCAATGGAAAAGGAGTGGACATGGTTCTCAACTCTCTGTCTGACGAGAAATTACAGGTGATTAAAACACAAACGAATGTCTTATTAAAAGTTTTGTTTTTAATATGTATTTTATTATATCCAGATACAGTATCATCCATCTTGTATGTGTGTAAATTTGAAATTATCACATACTTTGAAATCTACCAGATCTTTCCTCAACAGTAGTTAGATAAGTCTCAATCTGAGCGTAACATTTCTTTAGACAGATATGAAGTCGTCTGTCTTATATAAACGTTTTTATTTCTCTGCTCAAGGCGTCCGTTCGTTGTCTCGGATACCGCGGTAGATTCTTGGAGATTGGTAAATTCGACATCAGTAACAACACGCCCATCGGAATGTACTTCTTCCTCAAGGAAACCTCCTTCCACGGCATCATGTTGGATTACATCTTCGAGCAGAGCTACGAATTTAGAAAGGTATCATCAATGGTTAATAATAGCAACTGTATGTAACTCCATTTTTAATAAAGACGTATTATAAATTGGCTGTTGAAATTGTTATTTAATAAATCGAAGAATTCAAAAGTTATTCTGCCTAGAAGAATGAAGAGGGAAAAGTAAAGATGAGTTACCATAAGGTTTTGAAATTTGAAAAGCCTTTGACGAATCGGTATATTTCATTCAATGCTGTCTTGTTAATCTCTTCTTTGTGACCTAACAGAGTCTGCAAGATCTTCTCTTGACCGGTATCGACAGTGGAGCAGTTCGCCCGCTAACTTACTGTACCTTCCAGAAGAATGAAGTCGAGACTGCCTTCAGGTACATGGCAGCTGGTAAACATATCGGAAAGGTGCGCATATAAGCTGATTAGAGTTCTACTTAAGGGCTGAACCATATTTTGTCCTAGCGCGACGTTAATATATTAACTAACACGTTACAAATATCCCGATATTAAAATAGTAACAATTTTTTTAATAATATATTCAAAGCAAAGCACTAAATAATAGTTTGTTGTTTTTATTATAATTATCTCCAATATTTCATTTATAAGGTACTTCATTTAAGTAATGAAGTTTATGCATGTTACTAAACATTTAATTAAAACGGTTGTAAACGAGAAATATTTATTTTGACAAATTAGTTGTTTTAAATCGCGCCTCCAAGGAGGAATACTACGCCTATTACGAATCAACGGATGGCACTAGCGTAGCCTATTTGTATTTGATATTGGGGACATCGAAACGTCGGATCTTTTTAAGTTTATCGATATGTGTCGCGTTCCAACGTTACAAGCGTTCTATTTAAATTGTACTTTATTTTTAGGTAATCATCAAAGTTCGAGACGAAGAGCGCACCAACCGTCCTGTGAAACCCACACATATACCAATGGATGCGTTGCCAAGGTAACAAGACACGCCAGGAGATTTATGAGAAAATTAATTAATTTCATTGATTCGAGTAAATCTATTTCTAATCCCAGATTGACACCTATCAATTAGAGTTTTGATCTTTCAATATATTTGTAATCAATTCTGACTTCTAATACTAGGTACATGTGTCAGTCTGACATGTGCTACGTTGTCGTGGGCGGTTTGGGCGGATTTGGACTGGAGCTGGCCGATTGGCTGATCCTGCGAGGTGCCAGAAAGGTTCTTCTCACTTCTAGAAGAGGAATCACCAATGGATATCAGTCATCTAGATTGAGGTATAGTAGGAAGTTTTGGCAGCATTTTTTTAAATTTAATATTTTTTGATGTTATGATATAAACTACCCAAAATGTTATTCTTAATGGTATTGTTAGATTTTGAATATACATTTGATCTTTCTTGAGTTTTAACCTCTATCTTTATTATGTAGTTTCACGTTAAAATTTAATTTATTTATCGAAGTCTTCAAGTTTTTTTACGGATAATAAATGTTACGTTTTATCGAAATACTAAATAATAAATACTCTATGCACAAATTTCCCAGAGGTTCTCGTATATATCTAAAGGATAAATAACTTACTTATCCCTATACTTTGGTTTTTAGGGCCTGGGCCAGTTACGGCGCTGACGTCCAAATCTCGACACACGACATAACAACAGAAGAAGGCTGTGAGAGCATGCTCAAAATGGCGTCTTCCATGGGACCGGTTGAGGCCATCTTTAACTTGGCTGTGATCCTCAAGGACTCGATATTCCAGAACCAGACGCCGGACACCTTTAAGGCTTCGTTCGGGCCTAAAGCTCAGGCTACCATGAACCTGGACAAATACTCGAAGAAGTTGTGCCCCAAACTAAAGTAAGCTTTGAACGTTATATTATGATTTAAATTACATTTTTTTTACACTTGTACCAAAAACATTTTCTTTTTAATTTGTAAAAAAAATTAAAAACAATTAGATGTGTAACAATTAACTCTAAGGACTAAGCGGTACACTTAATACATTATTCGGTTTGAAAAAAAAACAAATTAAAGTAGTGGAAAGAGGAATGCCCACTCTTAGTATCTGACGCTAACAATGAACGTCAAATATATTTGGTTCTCCGGTATAACCTTAGAAATCTTTTCCATTACCATATCGATTTTTAAGCGTCTTTTATAATAGAAGTATTTTATATCTAAATTGGTAATGTCTCTTTCCAAATATATTGAATATTCAAATGTTTCAGTTCAATAAATATGTTTAAAATTTTAATAAATACTATCCTTTGGCTTAATGAAAAAGTAAGTAAAAGCTTTTTTGCATTTAATTCACATACGAATAGTTATTTAAAATTGCACAAATAAATTACTTGTGTTGCCAAACTCAAACGATAAATCTATAACAAACATTAAACTGTGGCAGAAAACTAACGTTTTTGTCGGACCCGTTGCTATAAATCATTTTGCTAAAGGTTTCTTTACACTTGCTGGTTTCAGATGAAGTTACGATTTTGCTAAGTACAAGTACCTACAGATTGGGGTTGTTTGGATTTTACAAAAAAAAGCTTTACTTTACTTTGAAATCCTACTTAATTATATGCTTTTACATAGAAACGATGTTTTAAATTTTATTTCATACTACATAAATAAAAATCTGTGCAGGTATAAAATATAATTACGTAATAAATAATATCAATCAAAAATAATTATAGTTTTGACTTCTTTTAAACACTAATTTTAACGGTTTCAAACCTTGAATATGTTACATAACTAGGTCGAAAGATATTTTAAAGTTGTCAACAGCATTCATGGCTTTCTTATGTTTGTTAAGGGACTTCGTGATATTCTCATCTGTCTCTTGCGGACGTGGTAATGCCGGTCAGACGAACTACGGTTTCTCCAACTCCGTGATGGAGAGGATCTGTGAATGGAGGAAGAAGCTGGGATTACCGGCTTTGGCTGTGCAATGGGGAGCTATTGGTGATGTAAGTTCAATCTTAAACATTGCACAATTGTAAGACGCATTAATGACTGCATAATGGTACTTGTTTTGATTTCCATGGACTCACAATCTTTCGTTTTGGTCGGAAACAAACATTTAACTTAATACAATGGATTTGGCTAAACAAGTAACACCGCTGGGCGGTTCTAGTCTTGTATGGAGCGTTCACCCGCAATTCATTCCCCTTTGCACCTCGATTCCTCGAAACTCATTAGGTATAAAAGCCTTTGCGAAACGTGACCTAGATTTCTTTTGTACCCAACACGTCCTTTGCTTTGACATGTTTCAAACGTACTGAACCCTAACGGGATCAATTAATGCAGGTAAACGTTTATTTGTGTACTTCATACCTTATTATATTTCCTGCTTTTAGGACTACTTTTGAAATTAGTATGGAATATATATTTTTTTAATATGGTTGAATAATGTCTATTTATATACTGTCTGCACTTGTCGCGAGTAGTACACATTTAAATAAAACAGTTTCACGGTTTAATACGAGATATATTTTAGTTAAACTTTGTTTGCAAATTATTTTTAACTACGGCCCGACGAAAGCATCCGAAATGCTTTGCAGCAGCCGAGGAGTCTCCCCGTGATTTTCAAATAACGTTAACAAACATATATCGCGTTTTTTTTTATTTAAATGTGTGCTACTGGCGTAAACTACAGACAGTAAATATTTTTGTAAATCGTGGCAACGTTGAACCGAGTTCCATTTAAAATGTACCTACGCTAACTGTAGTTAGAAATTGGTATATACTATGTGATTCGTTATTGCTGTAATTATATGACGAGTAAATATAATATTTTCTATGTTCTACTTATTCACATCGCAGGTGGGTCTAGTAGCAGATATGCAAGACGAAGACGTTCAATTAGAAATCGGTGGAACCCTGCAGCAGAGAATATCCTCCTGTCTTCTAGCCTTAGACAAATTCTTGAAGCAGGACTCTGTCATCGTATCCTCTATAGTGGTAGCAGAGAAGAAGGCTGGAGGCTCCGGATGTGGAAACATCGTCGATGCCGTTGCACAAATTATGGGTAAGTTTGTGGGCAAGAAGAAAAAGCAAGAATAATAATGTGTGTTAGACATAAATTTTTGTATTCTAGAAATGCCTACTTGAAGGATCTTATTACAAATATATCCATATTTATAGGAATCAAGGATCTGAAGACAGTATCCCAGCAAGTGTCCCTCGCTGAGTTGGGAATGGACAGTATGATGGCCGTCGAAATCAAGCAGACTCTAGAGAGGGAATTCGAGATCTTCTTGACAGCTCAAGACATCAGAACTTTGACGTTCGCCAGGTACTTGTTGTTTACTGTAATGTTTATCTAGACTCATATTATAAAGCTAAAGAGTTTGTTTGAACGCGCTAATCTCTAGAAAGTACTGGTTTGAATTGAAAAATATTTTTTGTGTTGCTTAGAAAATTTATTGAGGAGGCTATAAAACATCTCGTTTCCACCAATAGAAGTGAAGAAATAGAGGGAAAAGTGGAACAAACGGGAAAAAATATTCATCTTTGAGGGTTTCCTTTGCGTGTGCTGCGTTTCAAGAAACCAATAATTGTGTATGAAAGAATGATTCCTCTTTAAATGATCTACGAAAAAGTCTGCAACAAGTCCTCGCACCTTTTGAGATTAACTGACAAGCACAGCTAGTTCTATTATATGCAGCTTCTCATTCTATTTGCACGTGAAGATAAGAGCGTCAGATGATTTCAGTCTTTAATCACCTTAATAGCATTTTGTGGTTTACTAAAAACATATTGTTGAGTTTAACATATTACGTCTTCTTGTTCATATATAATTCTTAAAATATTAAACTTATTTAAAATAGTGCATTACCTTCGTAGCAATCTAAGTACATTTTCTTACTGTTAAAAAAGAAGACGTCTCCTGTTTGTAAATCTAAATCTGAAAACATTAATATTTTTCACATGTTATTGCACATGAAGGCACTATATAATTTAAAAATCGAAAATAAATTGAAAAAATGTGTGTGGTTGAAATGTGTTAAGTGTTAAGGTTGAAATTACACTGCGCGAGAGGTGCATGTATCAATAAGTTGAAAAAATTCGACGATGAGGTGTAGGACTCGGTAGCTCAATTGGTAGAGCAACAGCACGGAAAGCTGACGATGCCGGTTCAAGTCCTGCCCGAGTCGAAAATTTTTTCAATTTATTTTCGATTTTTAAATTAAATCTAAATCTTCTTTTTAGATTGGTGGAACTAACAGCCCAAAGAGAAGCAGCGGCCTCGACGTCAGTGACTGCTCAAACCACCGCCCCCGATATGGCAGTCGGTTTCCGAGTTCTTCTCAGGAACTTCGGCGATGAGAAAGTTGGCTCGGAACCATTCATCTACTTGCCAACTATGGTCAGCGATGGTACTGAGGTAAAGATTATTAATAATACTGTTTATTTTATGTAAAATATAGCATTATTATGTTTTCTTACCACATTTCTAAAATAGTGTACTTACTAAAGCTAGACAAACACTCTAAACATTCAATTAATGATAGCAAGTAGATGCACTGTAGAAAATAAAACTTAATACTATGTTCTGCTTGAGACTGCACTAATTCCTATATTATTATGCGCCATATAAATACATTTAACAATCACAGACTGACATAACAATAAACGAAGACGAGAAAGTGATGTTCCTGATGCCGGGACTGGAAGGCTTCGCGGCCGCCATGGAACCGCTCTGCAAGAGGCTCAAGTTCAAGTGCTGCGTGCTGCAACTGGGAATCGAACAGAGAGCGGACACTCTTGATACTCTTGTTGACAGGCTACATGCTGTAAGTATTGCGCTACGCCAAACATTGCATATTTTGACGAGTACCGCACATTTAGTATTTTATTTAATTACATTTTATCTCCACAGAGCATAAAATCTCGACTGAACCCAGGCACGCCTTACCTCTTATTGGGATACAGTTTTGGCACAATTCTAGCCTTGACCCTGGCTGCAAGACTTGAAAGCGAAGGTGATTATACGATCTATATATCGACTATCTTTGTCGCCATTCAACATTTAGATTATGTTGTAATTTGTTTAAATCAAGTACAACATATACTTGGGATGCAATACACATACTATATTTTATACAAACATATATTATTTGTTAATTTAATTATTGTATATAAAAATAGACGTTAACAATAATTGTTATTTCTTTTGGATTCGTTGTCGTAAAGTAGAAATAAATAAAATATCACAGTTTTTTCTCAAATAGATAAAAAGTAATACCTTTATTGTTATCCTTTTCGCACAGGTCACAACGGCTCCGTATTCCTCGTGGACGGTTCTCCCGACTTCCTTTACGCCCTCGTGACCCTCCTCATCAACTTCAAGAACGAAGTCCTGCTGCAGAATAGCCTCATCTGCCACTGTATAGACTTGGTCGCCCCGAACAACGATGTCACTTCCACCCTAATGAAGAAACTGACCGAAATAGAGTCGTACGAAGAGAGAGTCGCATACGCGGCGTCGGTCTGCCCCGTCCAGCACAACTACTCCCTGGAGTTCATTCGTAACATAGCCATAGCCTGCTACTACAGAACCAAAATGATCATAGACTGCAGAACAGAGAATATGAAAAAGATAAAGGCGCCAATAGTCCTCTTGCGCCCGAAGGAGAATCCACCGACGATGGTGTTGGAGGAGAACTACGGATTAGACAAGCTGACCGAGGGCGGAGTCACCGTGGAGTTCTTGGAAGGGAACCACCACTCGATCCTCGAGAACAAGGACTGCGCCAATGTGATCAACCGGATGGTACTGCACAGCGCACCGAGCGGAAAAGACGCCAAAAACGTCGTGACGAATCTGATAACGAAACCGAAAACGGTACAAGTTTGAGTATTTAAACGGTATTTAACTTATTGTAGACAAGCGGATGTTAAGATAATTAAGTTGTGGATCTGTTATTTAATGTGTGATAGTGATAATTAGTTTTAACGTTTCTCCTCAAGGAAGACCAGTACCAAATAAATAATCACTAGGTAAGTTATTCTTTGTTATACGTAAGCAAATAGTGTTTTGTAAGCTTAACGGGGTTAAATGATGGGGAATGCAAATAAACAATATTATTACAAGCGTTACTTTTTTTTCACTCTATATCTTTACCTATTTTTACAAAACAAACAATATAACAATTTGCCTCATTTTAGATTGTACTGCAAAGATAAAATTTTAACTTATTGGTTGAACCCTAAGTGCGATAACGTATTAATATAGATGTTTCAGTCAATGTAATTAACTTTAAATTTTTTAGATTTCCACATCTTTCACAACACTCCACGCTTCTTTCTCTCACGGCTTCGACTGTGCTACATATTTTAACTACAGACAACGCCTGTTTAATATTATTGATAACTTATAATACTGAATAATCCATTCGAGGGCATAACGAAAATCCTGAAGCTATTTGTTACCGAACGCCAATAGAATAACCACATACCGCCATAAATCGCCCTCTCAACAGGCAGCAAGTCGCTCCAGTTTTCTCCACCATAAATAGATTGGAGTAATTTACCCCCTCTGTACACTATAACAGAAATGTGCCCTCTACTACGAAAAGTTGGGTCGACAAATGCGCGAATAGTATCAATAAGTTGAAATAATCGACAATGACTGTAGGACACGGTAGCTAAATTGGTTAGAGCAACGTCACGAAACGGTTCGAGATCAGCCCGTGTCGTAACTTTTTTCGAATTTAAATCGAGTTTTAAGTTGGGTCGACTACTATCAAAAAGATAATGTATTCAATTCACTTTAATTACCTTTCTCTTAATTGTATATAAGCAATTTTTTTTCATTTTATAGCCCTATTTGAGGTTTAAAAATTTTAATTAAATTAGCTTTTTAAGTTACTACCTTTATCTTAATTTTACTTAACAAACAATTGAAAAATAAGACAAACTTTTATTCGAGTTAAACTTCTTAACCGCTATAATATTTCATTGTTAAAAGTGTTGCCTGCAGGCAAGCATGAGAGGTTCTGGATTTCGAATTCTGGAGAACCGATTTACACAGAACACAGTTCACTAGGGAAAAGGGATTTCACGCCGACTTCTCACGTTTCAATCGAGAACAAATAGTAGTGGTGCAAACGTGAAAGGTAAGCTTTGAATGAGTTTGCCTGAAAGCGCGCACGTAGGCCGTTAGAACATCATTACCGCGATACACGTCGTTTACTTAAGAGAGTACGTCGAGGCGCCACTAATTTGTATGAGCCCGCTTAAGTGTCTGACGATGTCGAATAATATCCCTATACCCTAAATAACCACGTGGAACATGTTTGTCATGACTCACTAAAGCCTTCTACGATTGCTTAACAATGTTTATTTCATATTACCTCACTTACCAGCTATGTCGACTTCGTTTTGGTCATCCATATTTGTTTTTGCAAACCTCTTCATCTTAAATAAAAGGAGATAATTCTTCGAGCAATCGAGGAGTTAACATCTCCTGATGATGCCGTCCACACGTGATGGTGAAAGGTCGAGACCCTCTTCTCGCTCACATCAGCGGAACAGCCAGAAAGACGATGATATGCTCTTCATCTTTACAAATTTAAACTTTTACCCACGACGTCGGTCGCGTCCCGTCGTTTTTGCAAGTTAATCTAAATATGGACATATAGTGTCGGAGATATTTTTTGGGTATCTTGAACCGTTATTACAGTGTACGCATTGGAAACTGACAACGTTGAATAATTTTCCCCGTTTTTTTTCTACATTTCCCGCTGTTTCTTCCATTAGTCACAGCGCGATCTTTTATAGCCTTTTTCGATAAGTTCCAACAAACAAACTCGCTTTACAATATAGAGACAGAACCATGTGTAAAGTGTTTGTTAAAATTAGCAATACTCATTGGTTATTTATATTTAAACTAGTATAGGACTCCATTCTGTACTAATAATATTATCATTTATGTGATCATGACTCTCAGTGTCGTTTTGTTATCATCAAATCGACATTGACATTTGTCTGTAAAGGTATATATAATATGCTTTTGTATTAACTACTATCTGTACTAATATTATAAAGCTGAAGAGTTTATTTCAACGCGATGACCTCAAGAGCTTCTTGAAAATATTTTTTGTGTTTTACCCCAAACTATGCATCAAAGGACGATTCTTCTTTAAATAATCTAAAAAATTGTCTGCGATAGAGACAGCTTGACTTTTAAGGTTAACTTACAAGAACGACGGGACGCGGACAAAGTCATGAGTAACGGCTATATGATGCTCAATAACGCGGAAGAAGTCGCGGGCTCTGCCGGTGTTAATTAATAACAGATAGTTAATTTGACATTATATATTACATGGGTGGTAGAAATGTCAAAACTTGATCTACTGATCGCAGATGAAAAATATGAGTTTCGGCTCCATTCTGTGGAACACCCAATATAAACATTTAATGAAGGTGGTAGTCTAAAAAACCTAACACCTGACTTTCTCCTAATTTATTTTTAATTCCCCAAGAACCTACTATGGCCATGGGTTCAAGCGGAGATACATTAATTGTAACAAACACAGATAACGTTAAACGTTGAAATAAATACGTGCTCTCCCTGCGCAGCTGCGAATAGTTTAAAGTTAGAACAATGCGAAAATTACTGTCGTATTCTGAATTTTAGTTTGCCAGGCATTTTGCAATTATCTGAAGGTACGGCTAAGCTGAGGTTTTGCTTTTACGGGTCACCTGAAATCTTTCTGTAATATAAGGCATGGTCCATATTATCTGACACCACTGTAACTCTTTTATAAGACAAGTCACTACTAGGGGAGAAAAAGATGTGTTCGGTAAATAAAATTAACGTCTTCGAGCTAGATCAGAATCGACGAGTGATGAATGTAGTAAGTAAAGTAGTAGGAAGTAAATGTTCTTCACTTCTCTGCGAAGTATGTATGTGGGATCTATATCTTTTCTGATATGTATTATAAAACGGAAGAGTTTTTATGTTTGTTTGTTTGAACGCGCCAACCTCAAAATCAACTGGTTTGAATTTGAAAAAAATATTTTTGTGTTGGTTGGATTTATCGAGGAAGCTTCAGCTATAAGACATCAGGAAGTGACCAATAGGAGCGAAGAAGCAATGGGAAATGTGGATAAAGCAGGGAAAATCATCAATCTTTGAGGGTCGCCCGTTGCGACAACTATAAAAATATAGATTCTATTAAAAATAATTATTATAGTTCTCTAAATAATATCCGCGACAACATTTGTCTATCTTCATACGGCAAAAGAACGGTTGCCGGGTCAGCTATTTCGCATTTATTCATACAATTCATCCATTTAATTGTAAAGGTCCAACCTCTGAAATTTGTAGTTCACAGTGAAAATGTAATCTCAGGTGTCAAATTCAACAAACAAAATATAAGCATAATCAATAAACATGTTTAGTTGAATCTTCTAAGAACTCATGTTATCCAAGAAAAACAACGGAGAGAGGAATTATAGAAGCCATTAATTTGCCTCGAGTTGCTCGTTTAGCAGTTGCTAACTTTGATAAATAAAAGCATTAGTTGTGCTTATTGCACGCTGCCTCGGGGGAATATAGCTGTGTGTTGCCTTACTCCTGTTTATTACAAGCTAATTTCTTTGAGAGGTGATTTGAAACTGTAAGCTTGAAATTATAGCGAAGGTATTTTTTTAACTGTCTATGTAAGTATGTAAATGCAAAACTATTTTAATTAAATTACTTCCAATATTAGAAGAGTCCAGAGTCAACCTGGTTGAAGAATATGGTGAAGTCCCACTATTTATCTCCAATAAAGTACTAAATAAGTTAAGTTAGAAACTAATATATATTATATTAAGGTCGTTTTTGTATTACTGTTATAATAAATATTTACCTCTGTTTTAATTTTAACCGCGGTTGCTTGGCAGAGATGTTTTTTTAGCTATAAAGTTGCCATTCAATTAATTTTATTTTACGTTTTGTTCGTTTTATGTTTCGTGACAATGAAGAATATTTGTATTTGGATTAGTTAAACAAAAGTGCACTTTAGAATGAAGTATCGACTTTTTTCTAGCCCTACTCATAGATAATAGTAGCTTCAGCTCTGAGCCAAACTGTTGCTAAAAAAAATATTAGAAGCGCCGTTTAATCATAGCTTATAGAGGGATTTGACCGCAATAAAGCAATGGAATTAGGTAGAACTTGATTAATGACTCTAAATAAAGAAACACGGGAGATGATTGATGTACGACCCTCGTGTCTCGCCATTTTTGTCTGAGAATTCTTATACCACAGTCTTTGGAACGTTCAGTGGGAAATATCATATGTCTAAAATTTCTAAGAATTATATTTTCTAAGCTATTATAGAAATGTATTTTTACATGCATAGGATGTTATTATTCAATGCAGACAACTTTCATGTTATAACTTCGTAATAGAGAAATTAAAGTCAAACATCTACCTCGTCGGTTCGTGGTCCAGTCCGCTTTTAACGGTCGTGACCACTTGAAAATAATAGGGTTTCTTAATGTTTGTCATAGAACACAATACAATTCTGAATGCTTAGATAACTGCTTATTAAATTTGTTATTGCACTAACTGCAACTACATAACTTTGCTTAACTTAAATTTTTGGTGTGTTTCGCAACGGTCTGAGTTAAGTAGACTGTGGACTTTGAAAAACAAAAGTTACATAAGACGTCATTAGTGGGAGTGCTCTAATGAAAGGGTTGACATGCAGTTTACTTTGCCTTTGCTCGCAACGCTCGCAATTGCTAAGAAACAGGGCCCTTATTAGACCCGAGTTTTATTGTTTTAGTAACGCGTAATAGCTAATACTGTACCATGCAAATATAGTACACATTTAAGTATAAGCTACCAGTAAAATCGGTTTACACTTTTAAAAGTTAACCATCTTTAAAACATATAAAGAGAACTTTTTTTAAACAAGAAGTGATTATCGTTTTAAAATGTGACTTAAGTTGCGTGTTAGGTTATTTTAACTTTAACCAGAGGAGAGACGGGTCGTGGTTAAAATAAAAATTAAGTTTTATTTAATAGTTAATTTTAATAAATAGTTGCTCTTAAAAAACTAGTTGTATACCTATTTAGCCGATTTTAGTAGCACTTTTCATTATACATATTTATATTTTATTATATATATATATATATATATATATATATATATATATATATATATATATAAAACAGGACGACACATTTCTGTAACTTGGGTATTAATAGTTTTCTATTTATTTATTTTCAGGCAAGCTGATAGGACTAATACGGCCACTTTTATCCATTCGTTAATTTTCACTGAATTAATAAGAAAGATGAATTGAATAAAAAACAGCCAGATAAAAATATAATCCTATAAATATAATTAATTGTTACAAAGCCTCCACAGATGTTGGATTAAGCAAGGGAAACAATATTTATAATTGCTTCGAGTACGAGGGAGGTAATGTTGCTTTTGACGGGTGACGTACAAACAATGTCGACGCTTTATTTTATTACAAGAAATGTTATCCTAATTTCGGGGAATGTTTTGCAATCTTAAATGTATTACAAGTTTAGGGAATGATTAGATTACTTTGGCTGTAACGTTAATTTGAATTCGGGGGCACGTTGCTTCAGTAGTGTGCGAACTTTTGTTTACCAACGTCCAGGGTTCGACCACGGATTGTGCCTCTACTTCTCTAGATACATAAAAAAATAAAAATCTATAAACTAAAACCGAAATGCCTTTACGACTTTTTCATTTGTGGACGGTGGTTTGTGTCTCGGACGGAATTTCGATATGCCTACCACGCATTCATTCAGATATCCAGAAGAATTGATTAGAAAAATTGTTGGAACCCGTGAGGATCGAATCTACGATGCGTTGATTATTAGCCATACATTAGTACCGTTACACCAACGGACCAGTCAACAAATATCTAAGTTTACAAAGTTTGGCAAAAAACGGCTAACAGTGCGGAATGCGGGTAGTTTGTAATTAAAACTGGGGTCCTTACTGATTCAAATAACGTGATGATCATTGATGCCCATTGAAGCGATGGATTAAACCGATCGTCGGTATTATGCCCGCAAATTGACAGTGATTAAAATTTACACATGCCACAAAGCACCGGCTAGCGAGCGGTTCAAATCTGTGTTGGAATCAATGCTTACAGGCTCAATGGACACGTTCACGAGCGACGCGTGTAGCGTTTATAAAACTGACACTAGCTCAGTGCAGGCTACAGATAAATACAAAATCACATATGTTTACTTTTATTTAATATGTGTTGTTATAAATGTCAGATGTTTTCTCTTTGTCGAATAATTAATTAATATGAATAATAATCTTAGAAAGAGCTATCTACAGAACGTGTAGATCTTTTCAACCTATATTATTTAATTATATTGACTGTTTGAAAGTGTGATCTGGGTATAAATTGATTTAATATGAATGAACTCTTGCACCTGCTGTATTTTTCTTCATGTTGTTAAGTTATGAAATTTCTTATACACCGTCATTATTTAACAAATTATAATCCTCTCTAATCGCTCATAGCACTTCTATGGAACCTTACCGTAAAATACAATCAGTGGAAATTGAAATAGCCTAGTTCTACCCTTCGTGTTTATCTCAATGGCAGAACCAACCAGTTTTCAAAGCACTCAACCCCTGACAATCAATCAGATATTGGTAATTGAATTTTCTAGCACAAAACCAGGGCCACGTAATATTACAGAATAGATGTAAAAAAAGGATTTCTTCTCTGGTAATAATGAATTCTCTTTAATCCTATATATGTTTAACAATAACAGGGTCGTTCCTGAACCACGTCAAATAGCGTTCTTATTTAAAACACAATGATTCAAGTGTTGGAACTTAGTAGTCTAATGATTGTCCTTACGCTGGAAACAGAACCAGAACAACCAGAATATGAAAGCTGCATTTCCCTATGACAGAGGAGGGCTAAAAATGGAGTTCACTTAATGGAAGGGGAAATCCCTCAACCTATAGCATCTAAATAAGATATGCTGTCGAACTATTTACTAAACTTGAAGAAGTATTAAGTGAATAACTTGCTCGTCTAGGTAAGCACTAACAAACTGCTATTTCAAAGCTTTATAAGGTTTATTTGAACCGTATCGTGGAATATACTTTACCGAACAACATGTTGATGGGATCAAGTGACAGGTAATCCGCAATCAGCGGTCGCCAGTCGGCGCAGGTTTCAATTTGAAATTTAAGGGTTGCTCGCATTAGTTAACACAGGGTCGGATTTAAACGACATTTCGTCGGCCTATACGTTTTTTGTCTAGGTAAAATACGTACCCTAATGTAGGCTTACTGAAACTATACTTATATTATAACGATAAGTTATAAGCAATAGACTTTATGGTTTTATACAATTATAGTAAAACGTAACTAAAAGTAGTATACTGTTATAAAAAATAAAATAAATATTTTACCGGGCGTAAGGTCGCTTTTTGCTTAAACATAAACATATTATGTAAAAAGGGAAATGTTTTGCACCTGAATCCGTCCCTGGCCAAGCTTATTTGTATTTCAAATTGCGGATCACGGTGTTTCGAACAAAAGCAGTATTTACTTACAGCGGGTAAATATCTGCCTACTGTCAGTCTGTGAAATGGCTCTGCTTTGATATGCCTAAATTGAAAAAACATTTTCTATGTAAGTTCTTACTATTTTAGAGTCAATATTGTTTTATGATTTCGGTAAAGAATAAACGACTAAAAGTTGTCCTAAAATGTAGGTATAGCTCTCTGTAACTGTTTTATAGTAAGTTAAATTCAGTTAAAAATCTAGAAGACCCTAAGTCCCTCCAATGTCCCTATTGGTCTGTTGTTTACCGTAATAAAAATAAAAATAAATAAATAAACATTTTTTGGCAAATGACAGTTTTTTAGGGCAAAATAAGAAAAACCATATAAAGGAGATTCTACTGCATTTAATTTTTTGTCAGCCTATCTATAACAAAATAATCTATGACAGATATCACAATGACTGAGACGTCACAAAATGGCGAAAAGCCTGGAGGAGTACACGAAGACTCCTGAGAAACGGGCGCATAGTTCGAGTGAATCCACAAACGTACCACTGCATTTTGCAGTGCATAAACCCGGATGCCACTTCGAAAGCTGCTGCGGCATCTGCAACTTGTTCCCGGGGGTTCTCCTGATCGCCTTTTGTCAGGTCCTCGTCGGGTCCATACTCCTTACTCTTATTCTGACTCATGGAAGGCAGTATGATGATATGCACCATACTCCCGTGTCGCAGTGTAAGTCTAGTCTCCTTGAAACTGATTCTGAGTTACAGAAACAAAGATAGAAAAGATTGTATTTGTAAACAAAGAATTAATTGTTGCTATTAAAAGTTTTTACATTTCTAGGTAGGTGTTCTATAAACGACTGAACTGATGATCTCCAAGAAATTATTTAAATACATAATATTTTATTTAAATTTTGTATTTAAATTTAATTTTGTACCTACTTTGTATTTGTTTCGGTTTTTTTTTCTGTTTTTATGACAGAGGAAGACAGAGAAGCAAGGGGTTTAATCTATGATGGTGGAAGATTGCTGATTTGCTTTTGACCTATTTTGGCTGAGGATATTCAGCAACGCGATTAAACGTGACGGCTTTTCGATCTGGCGAAGATGATTCATGCCCCGAATGGAATTTCGATATTTTTCCGAATCATGTTGGAGCCGCAAGAATCGAACCCACGGCCTGTTTATTAGCCACACGTGGCTGCCCTTACACCAACAAGCCCTTCAAATGAGGGTTTTCACAAGTCCTTGCCATTCAGTCAAAATCAAATAGATGTAGGTACTTCCTACTCGTAGATGTTTTATTTTAGTTATGAGCCTGGCCTCGGGTGCCGTGCTGAGTGGAGTGACGGGTGCTGGTGTCCTCCTCATAATTGTAGCACTCACTGAAAACTGTCGCGCTATGCTCGTAAGTTAAATATATCATAAGCCACGTCAGTTTAGTATAATGTACAAAAACGACCCAACAAAAGGCAAATCCAAAGCAAGTCCAAGGCTAAATACGACACGCTATAAATAACTATGAACATTTTTACACAATCTAGAGCTGAACTATGGTCTCGCAAACATATTTATCTGATATTCATTGTCTGTTCAGGTCTACCTTCTTGTAGCTACTCTTGTCTGGACGGGAATCATCACGTTAGCAGTTATAAAAATCGCCAGGGCCTGCGACCGATTTCATAATGGTAAACATTTGACCCCTTATGTCAATGGTTTAACGACTCTCCTAGAATTATGTTAAGCACGAAACAATCCTAGGCAAACAAAAATTGTTGTTGTCGACTAGTGGAATAATCTGAACAACTACCTGTCTGTAAATATAAACGACTAGTGAAGTAAGTATTTAATTCGAGTGCTTATTTGTTTGTTTTTTGACTAATCTTTTTTCGATAGAAGTTGCTATGCTAAATATTTACTTGCAACTTTGTAAACTTTTGTCTGTAAAATTCCAGCTCCGAAAATTAAGGACGAGCACCACCGACTGGACAATCTAGCTTGTGTTAGTGGACTTTTCACATTTCTTGGATCGGGTTGGTATTGATAATAAATAAACAATTAATGTCACTACTTAAACTTCATACACGATAACCTTTTATTAAAATTTCATATTTTTGAAATTAATCGCTATTAATGCGATGAATCGATGTTGATTTTCCATAGAAGTAGGCGAAAATAGAAATCGAAATATATAACTATGTGGTATGAAAATGTTTTAAAAACCTTCGGGACAATAGACGCTATATGAGCGCTAAATACTTAAAAATGAAACTCAACAATGTTGTGACTATGAAGTCTTAAATCTTGGCATAAATAACATAATGAGGGCATTTAGTTATTAAGCGAGAACGTGCCATTGTCTTACATTCATTATCTCGGGAATATAAATGTACGTTAAAAGAAATGAGGTTAAAAAAAGATCTCTTCGCTTTTTCTATTGTTTGAGTTACAATGTAAGATGTTTTGGTTGCAATTTTCTTTACTCTTACAAGTATATCTTTTGAACGAATAAATAAAAGTGGATTCTGTGTGACTTAGTTTTGAATATCCGTCAATTCTGATCCTGGGTGAAAGAAGTGTAAAGCAATGCATGGTTATAATCGACGGGTCGTGGGTACAATCCCCACTGAGTCCGGTTTAATCAGTTTTTTTATAAAGCATCGTAGGACTTCGTCTGGAAATTTGAATATCGTAATTCCGTCCGTCTCACGAACTACCGTCCACAGATGAAAAACCCGGAAATTAACTATTAATTCACAATGTGGATTTTCGAATATCCAAAGCCGAAATAGAGTGATCTAGTTTAGATGTTATATGGCTAGGCTATTTTACCATCTATCGAGTGAACCGCTTACGTTGATATTCTGTTTTAGATATTTTCGTGATTTCTTTTTTTATGACAAAAGGAGAGAAACATGAGATTTACTTGAAAAGTGTAATCCCCTTTAACATCTAATTGAGATGCGTATTATATTCAAGGTTTATTAAACCATATGATGTGATAATTTCCATTTATTTGCATTTCAGTTGTATATTTCTTCTCGTTTATGATAGTGTTCAGTTTCTATCATTTCCGCTACGTGAGGAGGGCCATCTTGCTACACGAAGCGGAATGTCCATGAATGTAAAATACGTTTTGTAAATAAAATAGATTTCAGGAAAGACCTGGTTTTATTTAAGCCCTTCAAGTTTCAATAGCTAAGAAGTTTTAAAATAAATAAAAAACTAACATAATATATTAACTTTGGGCTGGACAAACTTCGCTTGTGCGGAGAAATATGTAATAGTTCCGGTCTAGCCAAGCATAAGACTGATTAACTACTTGCCTATAAATAATTCGATCAGTAAAACCCCATACCCCACAAAGAGGAATGTCTTTAAGTAAAATCCGTCTTAAGCTGTGTATGAATAGGGCCATTTATATTTTATCATGAAGCGAGCCTCCCTATCTCGACATATTTGGAAATAGGGAGGAAAATAATGGCTCCTATATCAGAAAAGTGGAATTCGCGGACCGCCACAAATCTTCATCGGGCCACCCTGATTTATTGTCACCGCCAAATATTGTGTTTCGACATTAATTTTTTTCAGCCCTTTTTTTATTACACAGTAGGACACAATGATGGAAGGCGAAATAATCCCAAAAATATATTATAAATAAACGGAAACATATATGTATAGTATTATATATAATATTTTTCGCTATGTCCTACGGAGGAAATGCGGGATTTCAGTACAGTCTAACTAGTTAATTCGTCGCAGCTTTCCTGAAAACTGAACTGACCTTAGGGTACGCTGACGATGCCGGTGCAAGTCCTGCCCGAATCGTACTTGTTTTCAATTTAATTCCGATGTTTAATCAATAGTTTCGGGGGTGAGAACATTCAATCAAACAAACAGACTCTTCACTTTCCATACGTCTCGCGGGCCGAAGTTAGCAAATAATAAAACGATATCTATTACCAATTACTATTGAATTTCAATAAAAGCGAAGAGGAATCCTCCATCATCTAATATCGTTCATAATAACATATCCTCGCGCTATCAAGAGGCGGAATGCCATAAAACGATGACAGACATTTTATTACGTCGTAAATACACCAACAAAGGCAATAGTGGGCAGACGCGGCCGACTTACGGCAAATTCGTTTAATATCTAACGTTCCTAATAACGGAATCTCATATTGAATGCATTGAAAAGTATAACTAGCTGAGCACATAAAGGCTGCTCAAATATTTAAGGTTTGCTCAATGCGCTACCATTTCTTGCTCAAACATTAATTTTACTTCAAATGTGTTACGATGTCTAGAAAGCCTTTTGTTAAATCAAATCTATAAACAAACGACGATTAATAAAACGACCTATACAACTAAATAAGCAATAAACTACTGATTCTTAAAATAATCCAAAACGCCTCATATTTTTAGGAACGTAAGTAACGTAAATAGTAGGTAGATATTGATATCACAAATATCAGAATCTGGGTAATACTTAATAGAACTCTAATACTCGTATACGAAAAACTTCTATCTTAACTTCCCTTGCCCTGTGACCACGTCTGTAGGATTCGTTGGATTGAATATAATTTATTAACTAACACAACATTTTTAATCTGTGAATTGTTTCTCAAAGATACAAAAGAACCGAGTTAGAAATCCTGGCAATTCCACGGAATTCCACAGACGATCGAATCCCATTATCACATAGAATTACATCGTAGTCTTTGGCAATTAGACGAATTAATGTGCGGTAACTGAAAACCTTCGGGTTCAGTTAACTACTGTGCGGTCTGTGTGATGGCGATTCAGTCCTGTCTTAAAATCGACAATTGCAAAGAGCATGTTCTCCATTGAAGTAAACATTTGGTCCACTGTTTAGCTCGATTAAACGGATATTAAACATTAAATAACTTGATGAATATTTTAGTCTCCATGTTAGTATGGCTACACAGTATTAAACAATTTTTTAAATTCGCAATATTCAGATATATTCTGTGGAAACTATAATACAGTATTCTGAAATATACGCGTTTATTATTTATATATATGTGTATAAAAAATATATAAAAGGTTTACGAAATGTATTAAACTACGGCCCGACGTTTCGGATGCATGGCGGAAACCGTAGTCAAAGGATAACTGTTTTGTCGTAGTCGCCAACTGTTAAGTGAAATGTCTGATTTTGGTTAAATTAAATTAAAAATAAGTTAACTCATATGTTTTAAGTATAACACAGCTTAAAGTGTTTTATTTAAACTATAACGCCTATGAATACTTAACTAGTAGAGTCCACTTTGAATTATAAAAGAAAAACTTAGAAGTCGTAACACGCTGCTACTTCGACCGCACCCCCGAATCAGTAACTTACCCAACACACAGGAACGACTCGTTCTAATTAACTCAAAATACCAATCAATTTTGTTTTCCCGCCGATGCGATAAATGCTTTTAATTAATTCTACGAATCAAGAACAAAGTTGGAAAATAATTCTCTTCAATAATTTTAATAATGTAGGGTTACAATTTTTGGAAAATGATCGGCAATCGTTTCGCCTTTCCAGGAAAATGGCTCGAATGTACTGGGCTATTATTTACGACGATATTATTTTTATTAGTAAAGAGTGCCATCTCATCAAATATATAGTTAATTCCTAAGAAGTATAATAATAGAAATGTACCTATTATCATTTATTATTCTTAAAATGTTATAATAATCCTTTGGCGTGAACAAATTTCTAGCCCGTTTTAGCGATCGACTTATACATATGTAGTAAGTAGAATGTCTGTTCCTCTGCCCGGGCGAAATGTGTTACCATGGTATTCGAACCCACGACCACTCAAACTCTAATACTAGGCGAGGAAGGCATACTTGAACCGGCATCCACAGCGTTCCGTGCTGTTTGTTCTAGCCGATCGTGCTACCGTGTCCGACACGAATTCTTTCAAGCTATTGATACGTGCACCTCTCGCGCAATACAAAACTGTTAAAGTGCCCACTCCAAGCTGCATTTATAAAAGTATAATGCCCTTTGAATAGCAGTAGTATATCTGATCAGCCGATATCCATGTCACACCCTCGTCGCGTGACTAATGCTCTAGCGTCTATAAATCACCGTTTTATTTACGCGTCGTAAAAATACACCCATTGTCATATTTTCGTAACTGATTGCGATATATCAAGTTTATATAAAAGTAGCCCTCGACAGGCAGTTCCAGAGCTCGTGTGTCTAGCGGCAGCGAGGTATGGCTAATGATCAACGGCTAATGGATACGATACCCGGGTAGGGCATCATTTCAAGTTTATAAAAACGATTTAAAATTTTACTCAATCATGAGTGTTAGGAATGCCGAAATTCCGTCCGGTTCAATAACAACACACAGAACAACGAGAAACAATTCATTACATACAAGAAAGCCGTATAATCAGTTTTATTTTGGTTTTTTTATTATTATAGTTTTACTAATATTCAGAATTTCTCGTTCATCACGAAAAACAGACACCGTATGGTACAAGTTGTGTTAATGCACAACAAAAATAAAATTTAATCTAAATCGGTCGAGCAGATACGACGTGCAATTGTGACTAACATATACATATAGACAGCCTTTATTGTATTGACAATCTTCCACATTGTATTTTATTAAAATAGGGTTACAGCCAGTATCATGACAACAGTATAATTCTACTTATTATTGATTTTTGAGGTGAAGATACTTAATATTTTCAACAGCTTAAACGATTGTGATTTGTAACGCAATTTCAAATAATGAGTAGAAATTTATTAAATCACTTACTAATTACTTAGTATGGAGGAATAATTTAGATTTGATTTTATGGAAAGCTTGGCAAACCCATTTGCTAAGCACTTCTATATTCATTTACTTAAGTACTCAAAATAATTAGTAAAATGATTAAAGTAAAATTTACAGCTTTTATATTGTAAGAAGTTACGTGAATCGAAATTTAGGAATGAATTTGAACTTCTTTAAAACAAACTCAAGTCCTACTAATATTATGAACGCGAAAATTTTAGCTATGAGTTACATATATAGCTACCATTAGACAAATTAATTGTGGTGTGTACCTTTTACTTCCTAAATCTATACTAATATATAAGCCGAAGAGTTTGTCTGTTTGTATGAACGCGCTAATCTCATGAACTACTGGTTCGAATTAAAAAAAATATTTGGGTCGGGTAGAGTATTTACCGAGGAAGGCATTAGGCTATACAACATTACGATGCGGCTAAAAGGAGCAAAGATACAATGGAAAATTATTCATCTTTAACTCGCAAAATGGATAAAAAAAATGCTTGATTGATGCATAAAGTAACTACTCGACGCGGAACAACTCGCTGGCTCAGTTAGTTTTTATTATCTGTACCTATGTGACCGATTTTAGTTGGAATGGTCTTGGTCTTAACTAATAAATCCTATCTCCACCGTAAATTACTTCTCGAATTTGTTGAAACCTTTAATTAAGGTCACTAAAAAGCCGAGATAAAGTAAGAGACAATAACGAAAAGAGATAAAATTTAGTATCGCCTTGAGTAGATATTGGGGTGTTGAAGCCGGAAAAATTTTTTTCTCTTGGGTAAAACCGTTTTAAAAAAAAAAAAAAAAAAATTATTTTCTTTTTTTTCCATTCCTTTTTTTAATTTTTTTAAAAATTAAAAAAAATTTTTTAATTTATTGGTTAAAATGATCCAAAAGGGGTGGGGGGAGTGGGGGGGGGGTTTTTTTCCTACACCCCTTTTTTTTCTTTCCCCCCCCCTTTGTGTGTTTTGGGGGGCGCCCTCCCCCCCTCTTGTTTTTTTTTTGGGGGTTTTTTGTTTTTGCGACAAGAAAAGCAAAATTTAGTATCGCCTTGAGTAGATATTGGGGTGTTGAAGTCGGGAAATTTATAGTTATCTGTGGTAAAATTGGTTTAGAATTTATTCAAATTATTGGGTTGGGGGGGGGAAATTTTTTTTTTTTTTTTTTGGGGGTTTTTTTTTTTTTAGGGGGGGGGTTTTTTTTTTTTTTTTTTGTTTTTTTTTTGTGGTGCCCCCCCGATTCAAATTAATTGAAGAAAGATTTGTGATCTATTATCTGTAGTCGGTAATTCTAAATTATTGAAAAGTTAAGATAATGTATTTCAAAAAGTGTCGACTATACAGTCTTTGAACACATACATACCTATATATCAGAAATAGCTGTACATATTTTTAGAAGGCATATAGAAATATTTTTGTACCATATCTCTTAAATTCTTAAATTAATGAAACAATTAACGGTTTCAAACTTGAAATACATTACGTTTCGGTAGTTTTGCAGCAGCCGCCATGAAACGTCACAACAAACAGGACACTGTAAGAAAGTTTTGTTTTAAAGCTAATTTGAAAGAAGAAAAAATCCAGAGAATTTCCGAATGTCCAAAGCCAAAAAAGGCCGACAGCACTTGTTAAGATCTTAGATGTCTGGGGTAGTTCATCTTCCATCAACAGTCCCATGCTTATATATCCTTCTTTGGCATAAAGACATTGTATTGTTTGGCAAGTTAACTTGAAAAGATAAGCTACTTATACTTTTCGCCCAAACTGTTCAGTCGTCGTAATTGAGAAATGGTTCTCGACGTTTTGTCCTTACGAGTCGATGACGTTATCAGGTGATTCGCGTTCCTCGACAAAGCAAAGACTAAGATGGTACAACTTCAACGAACGACTCTTACGAGCTCCAACACCATGGGTGTCGAAAATTATTGTGTTATGCGATTTAAAAAAGAATAAAAACATATTTAAAGTCAACATATATTTAATTTACATTCCGCATTCGGATCCAATTTAAACGAAATCCAATTTTGGTCACTTCGCATGTAAATTGGGTTTGTGTTCTGTTTATCATTAAATATGTCGCTTAATTGGTCTGTACTTTCCTTTGGGTTCTGTTCCAGTAAAAATAGAACTAAGACTCCGCTTAAATCAAGCACAATCTCAAGAAACGCGAAATAGTCTATAATTTACATACAAATTCAAATTAAAAACTTTTTATTGACATTTACATATTTACAGTAAATTACAACTTATAATATATGAAAATATATATATATATATAATTACATTTTTATATATATATATATATAATATAAATAAATATCTAAGAAATGGCAATCGGTACCAGTCTCAGCTGAGCTGCTCATAGTTGCCACACTCAGCAGCACTGGTTTTCAGCCCGGTCCGGGTATAGAAGGAGAAGAGGGAAGTGTAGTAAATGAGTTTATATAATTAAGTCGGAAGATAAAACATACTTATACATAATATTAAAAATAAACATTATCATTTATTGCTACACATCTGCTTTCCAAGAAAGTCCAGTTTAACATGCCGCATAATAGTTATATACGTCATCCCCTTATACCAACAATACAAAACAATTACCATATATATTTAAAACACTTTCTTAGTAGTACCATTATTATTTTTAAAATAGTAGTAGTCTAAGTTAGACTACTACTTATACTAACGAGGCAATTAAAGCGGTTGTCCACACTTCATAGTTAGGTATGTAATTGTGTCACAAGGAAATCAATATAATCAAAATTGTTTCACACTATATTCAAAATATAGAAGCTTTTCATTGCGAAAGTAAATATTTTTTAGTAAAAATGTTTCGTTTATGCCTAAAGCTAATTTGAGTGGCAGTTCTCGTTGAAGCCTTTATTAATATAATGTTTCGTTTATTTATACTGAATTGGGAATATTTAAGTTTAAAAAACCTATTATTTTCCGTCGACGGGAGTAGTTTTTTACATTAGTCCTAAATATTTTTATAATAAAGGAACTAACATGGAGTTTACGCTCGACATATTATACCTAACATGTAAACAAGACGTGCTGTTGACTAACTGACTGATTATGGCTTCGAACATTCGGAAATCCACAGACTAGACCCGATTAACCTTATTTATCTATGGTTCGTGACGCGGATAAAATTTTAATATTCTCATCACCCACTTAATATCCAAATTTTCCAGGCTAAATACAACATGTTTTATAGAAGTAATAAATTGATTAGTACATGTTGGAGTCGGTGGGGTTCAACCCCACAAGCCGTTGAATATTAGTAATATATTGCTAGCACTAAGATTGCTACACCTACCAGCCCGACAATTGAAGACGTTAGTTATGTTTCCATTTATGTCTAAATCAAAGCTAAACTTTGTTTTATTTCTAGAAGGCTTGACACAAACCACCAACGAGTTTGCAAGAGCGCAACACGCAAACTGCATCTATCTCCCTCGCTCTTCTGGTAATTAAGATCCCTTCCGATATCGTAAACTTGACCTTTTGATTATGTTAGTGTAGATTTTATAATACGCGCGGCGCACGCGCAGACTGTGGAAAAAGTGTATTATGTGAATTGTGTACAAAGGAAAAATGGTAAGGATTGTGTCGAAAGCCTTTGTTATTCTTAAGTATTACCTAATAAAAAAATTTGTTGCAGCACAGATGGGTAAGCTACTTGAGAAGCTCTTACGATGTTTATGTACCTGCTTACTTTGATTGCGTTTGAATAATTGTATTCTTTATAAATTGTTGTATTTCCGAGTTGCTCACTTATGTGACTGACGTTAAGCTGATGTGAATTTACAGATGAACGATACGTCTAGCTTTGTGCCGAATTTCATCAAAATCCGTTTAGCAATATGAAATTATTTTTAACTACGTAACAAGTAAATACTCATAAATATAATAGCAACTAGAATAAGTAAGAGTTGGTGTCCAGTATCATTTTTCCTAATTTCGAATTCTTTCCAACACTATAATACTAATATTTAGTATTATTTCTTAAAAAAATATTTGTTAATAATAATATTAGTACCTATGTGTTGATATACACAGATTTATTAATACCGTTCTCTGAATTCAATCCAAGTGTTACCTTACATATAAACACCACAACACGAACAAGTTTTAGTGATGGAATCTATGCGAATGAGTTTTTTGTGAGTCGCCAACGCATTGGCGATCGAAATCCGGTAAACCAGCTGACGCCAGTGGTATTTCCTCAAAACACTGTAGGCGGTATCTCCACGGTATTATATTACGAGATTAAACAGTAGCAGTCAATCTATACTAGTATATAAAGCTGAAGAGATTGTTTGTACGCGCTAACCTCAGGAACTACTGGTTCGTATTTAAACAATATTTTTGTGTTAGAACATATATTCTATAGATTTATAGGCTATAAAACATCGCGCTGCGGCTAATTAGAGCGAATAAACTTCAAGAAATATGGAAAAACGGGGAAAATTGCCTTTGGGTAAGCTGCGAAAACGGTTCAAGACACCCAAAAAATATGTTTGAAAGAATGATTCCTCTTTAAATGATGTAAAAAACTGACCGCGACACTATTTGTCTATCTTATAAGATTAATTCGCAAAAATAACGGGGCACGGACGACGTCATAGCCTCATAGGTAAGAACTTAAGTTTCAAGTTGTACAAAACGTTTGCAAAAACAAATTTTCATCCCCAAAATAACTATTAATAAATATAGATATAATGCATATCCATCTATTTACTATATCTGCCAAACAACATAAAAGAATAGTCCATTTATAAGCCAATGAATCCTATTACAGCCCCTGGAGTGTCTAAACAGGTTGGGGATGTATTTTTCTACATTAAGGCTTTTTTTGCGTCCTCGAAAGTTCATTAACCCGTGCGCTATTATCGTTGACTTGTTTACTTTAATCTTGACTATCAAGTATAGAGGTACCATCTTTTATATTTAGAAGGGCACACGAGCACTGGTCTCACTTGATGGAAGAGAAACTGAATCATATGACATGTAAATTAGATACGCCGACCATGTTTTGATATTAGACAATCAGATCCGAAACGCGATTATACATTTTGGCTTTTCAACCAAGGACTGTGGTCGTTCCTGCAACCCGTTGCCGATATTACCCGGATTTTCCAGACAAGGTTGATGTTTCGCCAATATAAATATATATTGGACTTGATGAGTTGAACCACTTAAGCATAATTTGCTACCATTGGACTGACTCTCCGTATTTTCAAGATACCATAATTCCTATATATCGTATAATAATTTCGTCCCGGATTCGAACCTAGGATAACTCGGCAAATTGTTTTGTTAACTACATGTTGTTGCTGTACGTAATCTTAAATCTAATAATTAACGACAATTACTAAAATATTCGCACGAGTAATTAATGTGTATACAAGGAAAATATCATTTATTTTTGCGCATATAAATGTTGATTTTTCTCAGAATTAATACGTATATCACCGTGATACGAAGTGTAGTAAACTGAATAGTTTGGCTGTAGTTTACGCGAGGAGAACACATTTAAATAAAACACTTTAACGGTTTAAAACACGATATATATTAGTTAACTTGTTTGCACCAGCCGAATCGTCGGACCGTACTTTAAATAATCTTAACTAAGATATCGCGTTTTAAAAGAAGAAAAAAATTATTGAAATAAAACACTTTAAAAGTTTAAAACGCGATGTGTAAACTATAATGAGCATTTTATTTTTTTGGGACGTGAGCGGCACTCGAACCGGCGACCCTTAATTGTTAGAGTCAGGATCCCACCCATGTCATAAAAGTATTCAAAAATTACAAAAATATATTTTATCATTTAAAATCATCTTTTATAAACCGTAAGTTGCATTTAAAATCGACGCAGGACTTATAACATCACAGCTAGTTCTCGGAAACTTAGGTTTTCTTATATTACTTTTCAATCACGTTATTGCCAAGAATTTGATTGCTAAATTTGTTTAATTACTTTTAAAACTCAGTAGTTTTATTGAACTTGTTAAGAAAGATGAAAATTCAAATTTCCCTTTAATTTTTCACAGAAAATGTAGCAACTATAGCGCTCAGTTAAATATCCGGCCTTCCCCGAAGAGGTTTTAATAAATGGATCTAAAAGATTTCGTAAGGGCGAAACTTTAGCATGGTAAATGTCTTAAGCTAAATATAGCTTCATCTTTATTAATTCAATCAAATAGTTTTTTTATGTTTCTTAATAAAAAGTTCATGTCTTCTTATAATAAAATTCGTTATCTGGCAATAAATATCAACGGCGATATTATAAACCATTTATGTATTATGAAATTTACTAATTACAAATAAGTCAGTAATAAAAAAACATTATTAAAATTCGATATCTTTAGGCTTGTGGTAGTTTTAGTCTTTATTTTAAAAGTATTTATTTTGTTAATTAAGTGATAGTAATATGTACCTAAATTCACTATGAAATAGGTATTCCTCTAGGATCGTTACAGCAGTGTCGCGAGACACAGAACGATACATTAAGGCATAAATTATTTAAAGTACTAGCTAACAAGGCACTACCATGCACCGTAGCTTACAGCTGGACACGGTTTTTGCACGTCGCATAGAATAAAATAGAATGGAGGAATTAAATCACAAGGAGTAAATAATAAATGAATATTTTTGCAGTATGTGGTATAAATAACAAAGCTATAATCTATACTAATATATAAAGCTGAAGAGTTTGTTTGAACGCGCTAATCTCAAGAACTACGGGTTCGAATTGAAAAAATATTTTTTGTGTTGGTTAGAGCATTTATCGAGAAAGGCAACACATTGCGATGTGACTGATGAGAAATGTGAACAAAACGGGGGAAATTTTTGATCTCTGTAGGTTTCAGATTTTTCGCTGCGGTTGGTTCAAGATACCTAAAAAGTGTGTATGAAAGAATGATTCCCTTTTAAATGATTAAAAAAAAAGTCTGCGATGCTATTTGTCTATCTTTTAAGATTAACTTGCAAGAACGAACCGAACGACGGGACGCGTACGGCGGGATACGAATATCGTGGGTAACAGCTATCTACACTAATATTATAAAGAGGAAAGATTTGTATTTTTGTGTGTAACGGATAAACTGAAAAAGTACTGGACCGATTTTAATAATTCTTTTTTCATTAGAAAGCTACATTTTCACTGAGTAAAATAGACTGAGAATATATTTAGTACTAGATTACAATTTCGACACTACATTTCGACAATATTATAGAATATATCAATATCTACAAAAAACATCTCGTGACCATATGTCTAACTATTGTAGTTACGTCACTATAACTACTTTTTTACATTTAACAAATTGATTGAAATACCGAATAAAATCAAACGTGTTTTTTTTATTTAAATAAATAATTTAATATTCAAGACTGTCTCAATAACTGATGATTACTTTTTTAAAATTCCTTTACTTAAAACGTCCTTTTCAGAGGAATCACACTTTGAATGTTTTTTCTACGACGACAGATTAAGTATTCTTTCGAATCGATTCATAATGATATAGGTATTCAGTGTGTGGTTGAAAGCAATTTATATTAAAGCAAATTACTTAATTGAAGGGGAAAGCCAATTAAAATCCCGAATGTCTCATTGGACAAGGATTCTATTGATCTCAGGACTTTCTCGAGCCCACTTTTTGCGATCCTTGAACTTTGTAAAAGCGATAAAGATAATAATTAGATATCTCACAAAATCGGGTGAAAGTTCGTTAACTTTAAGTCGAGTAGGATCTACCTTGAGTGTGTCAAGTCGAATAAAATGTCACAGTTGGGAAACTAACTGAGATGTAATTTATATTTACCCGGCGTCACGATTTGCCGTCTTACCATTATTTTAATCTTTAAAATGAGTGATGAAATAAAATTTACTAAGTGGAGTAATTTTTCAAATTTATGCTACATCTACATTGGTACCTCTACCTTAAAGTGTGTCGCAACATGATGATGTTTATAATAAAAAAGGCATAAAGGTCGATTTAGGAACCCCAATTTTTAAAGTCGGTTAAAGATACTTAGAAATAAAATTAGATTAAAGCAGCTAAAGTAAATAAATACTTGCGCTAAAAAACTCATTCCTCAAAGTAAGCAATATGACTCGGTTTTGGGGAATCTTAGATGACGCACCACACATTGTAGGGTCTGTTTCACTGATTGATTTTATTACAGGCAATTCTTTGATCGGACTTTTGTGCTCTAAATGACCAAAACAATTTATTATTTTTCCGGAATTCGAACTAAAGCAGAGCTAAACGCAATGCTGGGCAATAAAAGGTTACCTATTGAGCTATTATAACCATACAAATAGGTACAATAAAAGAAAAAATAGCCTTCTTAGATATTTAATTCAAACAATTAAAATAAGACAGCAACTGCATGTCATTTTCTTTCGGGCTGTTCGACCGATGTGAGCGAGAAGAGGCTCTCGACGTTTCGCCATCACGAGTGGACGGCATCATCAGGAGATGTTGCCTTCCACACGTTGATCACCTGACTCACATCGGCCGAACAGCCCGAAAGACAACGATATGCTGAACGATACCCGTGAAAGCCTTACACAGTTTATTAAGATAGCAACGCAACTATCGATCGTGGCCATAAATTCTATTTATATTTTTTTCTGTATAACTAGGCATGTTCGCCGTGATCAAGACTATTGCAAAACATCCTAAACGTCGCGCCGTAGTTAAATTACATCAAACATATAACGTATATATATTTTACGTTTTAAACCCTGAAACCGTTTTATTTGAAAATGTACTTCTCGCGTCAACTACAGGAACAACTTTCTTCTGTATATTAATGTTATTCTTTGTTCCAGATTCGTGTATCATCTGTCCTTCTAGTCATCGCTTGCGTGGTCACCACACAAGAACAGAGTATACCAAACTCCCCTTGCCCCAATGTCTTTCAATACGAACAGACTGGCTTCGAACCTGGCCAGTGGTACGGTGTCGTCAACTTGTCCACAGACAGCACGTTGCATTCGCTTTGGTTGAATATCGTGCTCGACAGCAAAGCGAATATTTTGGGGGTAAGTTTTTATAAACAAACAAAAGTATGGAAATTACTTGGGTCAAAAGGGACCTGTGTTACTTTTTTATTTCGTACTTAGGCTAAAAATCTAATTAATATTATATGTATCATTATTAAAGTGTCTGTAGTTTATGCGAGTGTATACATTTACATAAAACACTAACGGTCAATCTCTACCATGGCTGCTTCAAAGAATCCAAAACGTAGGGCTATAATTAAAATAATTTTTAAATAATTTTAACTAATATATATCGCGAAATAACTTCAAAATTCTATTTAGATTGAAAGAATTTAAATATAACAATTTAACGGTTTTTAACTATAATTTTAGTGCAATCATAGTTTTAAAATATTTGTTTAGTTATACATTTTAGGGCGTATGGAGCGACATAATCTAATAAGCTTAAAGCCCATTAAATAAAGCTAAAAACAAAGAAATATAACAAAGGACAAGATATAAACGTTTACAAAGTTTGAATGTTAGTTTTGTTATCGAACTTACATCCCGATTTTAATGAAGAATTTTCCTTAAGCATTTATTAATCAACAGACATTATACTCGGAGTCAGAACTTGACGAAAGTAAGCTACCTTGGCTACAACCAGCAAGGATAAATACGTAACGCTCACATGGTATTTTAAGCTGTTAACATTTTCGACAAAATTAGGCAAATAATATTCAGATAAAAAGTTATAATAGCTTGTAGTCAAACAACTACATTTTAAATAAAATATCTATGCGTTTCTAACGTTGATTTTGCTTACGTCAGTGAATCGATTTAAATCGGTCGTTTTGCATATAGATTTTCGGTTTTAAAATGTTTTGAAAATTGTTGTTTTTATTAGTCTAAAACCGCAATAAAACTAATAATAAGCCGGTACTTCTGTCAATCAGCACTCACTTACTATCCTTTTTAAGCAATCATAATGCTAACCCAACGTAACATCTAAGTTAGACATTTTCGTACTTATTTTATATCTATGCTTCTGTGTCGTGCTCTACAGAAATACTCACCATATTCTCAAAGATAGGATCGTGAGACTATCGCTTTTATAGAAGCAATTATTCTAAAATACTCTACAAAAAGATACTAAATAAAAAAAACACGATTCGCACAGCTTACATCACTATATCCTTTCCAGAATTGGGTCGGCGATGTAACCACTAACGACAACATTGACTTTAAAATCGAGAACACCAACATGAAGATCCACCCCGGTCCAGCCGTGGCCGTCCGCTTCTTCGTCAGATACGACAAACTGAACAAAGCCCCAAGACTCCAAGCTATACGGCTCAATGGTAGAGAGATATGCAACGCGAATAACCGGCTCCCTGCGGTCGACAGACCAGATTTGGTTGGGCAAAACACCAGACCCGTTGACCGGCCGAGTGGAGAATCTAGACCAGTCGACAGACCCGCTGAGAGACCAGTCGAAAGACCGCAGAAGCCTGTGGATGCCAGACCGGATTCGAACAGCCGTCCTGTAATAAGACCCGAAGACAAGCCCGTCACTAGACCAGTCTATGGTAGACCGTCGGGTGATGGACCGGTTTATGTCCCAACCCAAATCGACCAGAGCAATGTCAATCCTTACAGTATGTGAGTGCATAGTATATTTAGAAATATATACTTAGTCTACTTTCTTGTGTAGTTAGCAGATTAGTACTTTATAACATTAAATGCGTTGTTGTCAAAAATAACATAGGGAACAAAGTCATTTTCACTCTTATTTTCCTTTACTATGTATGGTTTTAAGATTTCAAGCAATTTGAATTTATTACAAATATGTTAATATTTGTAGCTTTTCTTTATACTAATATAGAAATAAGAACTTTTAATAATGTTAAAAACTATGGTAATAGTTACGTCCTACAAAATCGAATAGGCTAAGATTATTTTCCTATAAGTTGCTTCAACAATGATCAAAATCGCTCAATCATATATTAATAAGCACTATATTTTTCTCTACTTGGTCTTATATATGATGAAATTTTCGACAACATACAATTTCACATCCGATAGAAATTGGTACTAAATTTATTAGATTGGTTTTAGGATTTTAGCCAAAAAAGAACTTACAAAATATTTTATGGACAATAAAGAATACTCATCAAATTTCTAAGCTGCGATAAAGTACATATAATACTTTTTGTAGCATACTCTACTAAAAATGCAGTTCCTAATAGTTACTGATATGATCATATATTTGACGAAATATACCTACTATATACACTTGGCATGACACCTTCCATGCTAACCCACTAATCTTCAAGTTCTCTTATCGTTAACAATTTTAACAGCGGTGGTGGTTCGCCATCTCAGAGCGTGACGGAGGGTCGACCTTACCAGATCACGACAACCCGTCGTACTAGCATCAGAGATGATGATGACGATGATGACAGGTAAGGTTACTGAAGAGCTTGAGCTTTCTTTGATCACGCATCTATGGCTTATTAAAAAAGTTAAATCCTAGTTGACAAAGGTTACGAAATGCGGTTTAACAAAGTGTAGGTACAAGACAGTAAGCATAAATTACATTTGATCGAAAGTGTAATGTCGTACAACGTACGTAGATATATATTAAATTCTCTTTAAAATTTTAATAGTTATTTAGATAATATATGAATAAATAGATGCCGTCCACAGTCGACCAGACTTGAACCAAAACGCTAATTTTGTGAACGGAATTTCGACGTTCTTCACTAGCGAAGGTATGCGCTGAGTAGCCCTGCCAATAACAATTTGATTGTATTAAATTGTAAATAAGACCATTACTAAGGTGCTATTTTTCTTAAAGCAGGCCAGATCCAAGTGACTACTTTGAGGGCGGTATACCAACTCCTGTAGCAAGCAAGGGAAGCAGCAATAGTAACAATTCTGACAACAGGCGTGTGTCTCGGGTGAGTCAAAATTGACTATTGTTTACTCTATTTTACACTCAATAAATAAGAAATTAAAAATTGCTGTAGATAAAAATATTTACTTCTAATGAAACGATAATGATTGAGTTTACAAGTTTAAGTGTATTTCTTTATGTCTTTTAGATTTGAAGCTCTTTATTTAATACATACTTTTATGAAATTCAATGTTCTGTTATTAGTAAAAACTGAAAGAGTTTTTAAAAGTTTTAATTTCAGAACTTTATCGTACAAGAAGATGTGACTTAGTCACATTAGAATAATTAGACGGTCCTCATATTATATATATTCCAAATAGAACGTACAGCTGAGCAAGAACACAAAGACCATCTTCAGACGGGCCTTTTAAAACCAGTTCGGTCTCGCGGGTAAACCCCGACATAATTTATCACGTCTAGTTTTTTTCCAAATCAAAGAATTACAAAATGGCCGCCTTTCACAATATCAAAATCGCGTCATCAGCTAATTGCTCACCACAAAATAACCGCAAATTATTACAAGTATTGTAGTAATCAATTCATAGTTAGGAATAATGATAAAATTATCAGCAATGCTTATATTAAAACGCCGAAGAGGGGCTTGTTTAGTCGATTGGTCAAGGAAGCTAATCTCGGAAATTACGACTTGAAGAAATATAACAGTCTTATTTTCTAAGGAAATCGATTGGATGGCCAAGTCCACTTACATTGCTGATCATTTCCTCTCTGCGTTTCTTCACATAAACTTATTATCCTACAGAGAAGCCTATATAGCTTATATTTCAGCTTTGAAACAACGAAAGGATGGGAGAACATTATTTCCCTTAAATAATTCCGTTGCATACTATAATTTACTTTAGAAGAGCAGTAAGGACAGTCTTTCATCTAAAGTCATAAACGGTTAATTTGAATTACACGATAAAACGCCTCTGCTACATAATATCTCAATAAATAAGTCCGTTTCGCTGCACGACCCTCACGCAAAATCTTAACGCTCTATAACATACTGTCTATAGTTTACGGGATTAGTACACATTTAAATAAAACACTTTAACGGTTTAAAACGCGATATGTTAGTTAAACTTATTTGACAATGATTTTTAACAGTCTCCCCGTGACCATGGCTGCTGCAAAGCATCCGAAAGGTCGGGCCGAAGTTAAAAATCATTGTCAAATAAGTTTAACTAACATATCGCGTTTTAAACCGTTAAAGTGTTTTATTTAAATCTGTATAACATGTATGTTAAAAATATGTAATATAATAATTTGTATAAAACTATTATCTTATATAAAACTCCCTATAACGGTAAACATTCTCGAGCCTATGTTAGTCGACGTTCGCTCTTTATTCCGTTAAGATGATACACGGAAATCGCCTTGTCATTATGTAAACCGCACAGTGTTTATCTTGAACGCATTATGTTTATCGGACAAAGGTCATATCTACTGTGTTGATTGTAATGTAATTAGAAACGCTTATGTTGTTTGGTCGTGTTTTGTTTGTAGACACCGTGTTTATTTACTTCTTTCTTTTAATACATATTCTATTAAGTCTGGTATTGGCGAGCAAATAAAATGGTCGAAACGTTATATCATCGATGGATAGTTTTTTTTAATTGTTTAATTTACACATCGTGGTCAAGGAAGGTTCCAAAAAGTAAACAAATTTATTAGTTGCCTAAATGTACTGTGCAATTATATACATAAATAACCTGTATCGTTAGGTGCTACTTTATTATTCATATTATAATAATATCTGTATACAAGTATGAAATCTTTTAATCACATTCATTGAAAAACCATTGCGAATATTTCAGGACCAATGTGGTAAGGTGGTCCGAAACTCACCCAATCCCTTAGTGGTGAATGGAAAACCGACCCTCGAGGGACAGTGGCCGTGGCAAATTGCACTTTATCAGACACAGGTATTTAAAATACACTTTTCCACCTGTGAATCCTGGCTTTTGGGCTCCTGCATTATGCGCCAAATAAAACTAATATTATTTGTATAAAAAAATTGTATTAGCTTAGTTGAGAAATGGTGTACGTGTGTACTTTACGAAAAAAGTAATACAATACATCATAATCTAATACTAATATATAAAGCTGAAGAGTTTGTTTGTTTATTTGAACGCGGTAATCTCAGGAACTGCAACTTCGAATTGAAACATTATTTTCGTGTTGGTTAGAGCATTTGTCCAGAAAGGCTGTGACCAATGGGGGCGAAAAAAAGTAGAAAAAAACGGGGACTATTGTACTCCAAACTATATATGAAAGAATTATTCGACTTTAAATGATTTAAAAAAAATGTCTGTGATGTAAGATGTCAACCTAACTTGCAAGAAAGACGGAACGCGACGACGTGGATAACAACTATAAGTTATAGAGATAAAGATTTGCAAAAACAAATTTTGATGCCTAAAATAACTATTCTATGCGAACAAAGTCGTGAGCACAGCTAGTATACAATAAATATGTAACAACCGCCTTATTTATTCTGGTATAGTTTATTCTGGTTTTAGTATCCAATTTTATAATTCTATTTTCATTTCAGACAGTGGACAATAAGTACATCTGTGGTGGGACCTTGGTTACCCACAAGCACGTGATCACAGCAGCACACTGCGTGACTCGCAAGGAGTCAGTTCGAGTTGTTAATAAGAACACCCTCACTGTCTATTTGGGTAAACACAACTTACGCACCTCAGTTGAGGGCGTTCAGATCAGTTTTGTAAGTACCTATTTTTCCTATTTTAACTAAAACACCTAACGCCATGCCGTTAGTGTAGCCATTGAATTATTTTGTGTTTTTTGTATGATATATACCATTTTGACAAGGTGTTCTGTCGACCTAGTTTGGCTTTGAATACGGAAAACCATACACTGAAACCGAGATGCGATTTATCTTCACGCCCGTTTCATCTGAGGACGGAGTTCGCCTTACCACTTCTTCGAAAAGTCTGGTCAGACCCGGTGGGGATCGACCCACGAGACGTTGTTTATTAGCACAATACTACCATTACACCAACGAGTTCGTCAAACTGTGATCATCGTATTTATTAATAAGGGATTGAAACGCGAAATATACTTATTAGTAAAACTTCTTAATCCATATAAACTCAAATGTACCTACCTACCTCCACATTTAGCATGTTTGTTGTGAATATTACTATAATAATGCATTCGTTATCTTAAATCTGCTTACGTTATTTTTTAAACATATGCTAGATTCAATAACAAGAGCTGTACCGAAATCTAAATTGCAAATATGGAAATAAAGAAATAAGTGTAATTTTCTTCGCTCTGCAGGTCAGTCATATAACCGTCCATCCAAGCTATAACGCAACAACGTTTAGCCGAGACTTGGGTGTCCTTAGGCTGAGAGACCCAGTCCAGTACACAGACTTCGTGAGACCAGCATGTCTATGGCCGGACAACATGGTGGACCTGGATAATGTTATTGGGAAGATTGGTTCAGTACGTATAGACTACAGATGAATTAACGATTATACTGTTCTAGATATAGATAATAATTTGCGGTTTTTAGTTAAGAAGAACCGATTTATTTATCTGGTATCGGTCGATAATCAGCCATCTATTGGACGCAACCTAGTTGCTAATAACTTTTGGCTTAACGAAATCTCGCGTTACGGGTTATATGTAGGTATATACAGATTATTTGTTAACAGTCCCAAATATTAAAAAAAATAGAGGTTAAAATATATCTATTGGTGCTTATTTTCGTAAATTTTCCGCACGTAAATGTTCGACGCGACGCATTATATTATTAATACCTTAGCCGCGTACCCGCAATATGCCGCTAATCATTTTAGTAAGTCAATGAAGTAACGTCATTGTGATAAAAATAACTTGAGTATAAAATTTAACGTTGAATGGATATTATTCAATTGATCTATACGTATTTTAGTAGGTGATATTTGAATAAACGTATTTAGTATAACTTCGATTAGGACTTTATTATAAGTGGTTATGAACATGTAATCGATAAACAATTTCAATTAGGTATAATTTTATGACGTACTTGGTTCAATATTTCTCGGGTCCAGGGCCAGACGGCGAAGTCCAGACTTCTGTACATTAATATTGTGGTGTCAGTCCGTATCGTGGGGCAACGCAGCCGATATTCAAACTATATTTGTGTTGCAGAAACGGGCTATACGAGCAATTTGTGGTCGTTCCCCACGAGAGTGTGTTTGATATAAGTTTAAAGCATTGAATATTCTAACGCTGGCAAGTCAATATATCTATAAAAATGTTTGAGGAAAAACGTAGATACCTTTAAAACAAACGGCAGCTTTCATCAGTACACTACACGTAATAAGGATAAAATAAGTGTACCAAACAAAAGGCTTCATAAAAGAAGTAGTTCTTTTCAAGGTAACTGCATACGATAGGTACTTTAATAAAATCCCCAGCGAAGTGCAAGCACTCTCAATAAATAGGTTTAAATCGTATGTAATACAAAAACTGCGTGGAAAGGGTTATTATCACGTTAATCAATATTTTAATGATAAAAATGCTTGGGGTGTGGAGGAACCCGCTCTTACAAGGAAAAATATGTAGTGCACTAAAAGTAAATAAAAAATGTAAAATGAAACTTGGCGATAAAAGGAGTGACGGCGAGTTTATTGCCAGTTCTTCTCGTTCGTTCTACGCCCTTGATTTGAGAACTGGTAGTAAATGTAATGTTAGATTCTTTAATTTTGTGACGTTCATAAGTGTGCATAGGTACCTACATGAATAAATGATTTTTGACTTTACACTTTACCGTAACTGGAATAGGGCGCCCATATAAGAGGTAATATAATTAACAAAGGGGGCTCGGTTACTTATGTCACCACGTAGTAGGCACACTGATTTGACGAATCTTATTACTTTTGAAAAAGCGCTGGAGTCTTGGAAACTACTTAACAAAGCCAGAAGTCTCGCGAACACGCGTCTGTTATATCTGCGCACAAGGAACTCGAGCGGAAAAGCGTCTACCAGGGCGCGCTTGATTTTCACATCTTTATTCCGCACACACATCTTTTGGTTAAAAGTGGGCACCAGTATAAATTGTTTCGATGGCTCGGGACTAAACAAGTTATTTAAACTTTCACATTGTTACGTTAAACACACAATCCACACAGCATCTGCAGAAATAATTTTAAAATACGCACATGGGATGTGTGACGTACGTCAAAGTCAAGTTTCAAATGTCAACTGAAAATTCAAAAGAAAGCCGCCGCGATGCTAATGTACTGTCGGGTGCATCATTGTTACAAATAAAGTCAAAATTTGCTTTTATTTGTTTTGCTGGAAAAAATATTTCCAATTTGTTCTTAATATTTATACGTTATTAAGTCAAGTTTCGTGTCCTAAAATTTGAATTTGTAGCAAAATAATCGTTTAGTTAACAGTAGCACGGAGGCAAAATATCCAACTAACAAGAAGTATGCAATAAATTGTCATATTATTTTCAACCAAGTTGTAATTATCAGGTTTTTTTTTTTAATTATCTGTTTTGTTCCTTCATTACTTTTAAATGTTTTGGATTTTGTTTTTATAAATTTTTTGGTAAGTTTCTTTATTGTGTTTATGTTTTGTGATTGTTTATGCGTTAATGTTATTTAAAATAAATTTGTATACCCGCTTTTGAATATGCAACAGAAACTCATGAATAATTTCCCCCATTTTTTTCGCATGATATTATCTTGCTTTGGAAAAACTACAGGCCAGTAAAGCCAAGTAACTGTGGTTTTGCTACTTTTGTCTCTTAATCGAAGTTATACTAAATACGTCTATTCTAATATTACACATATGCGTAAGGATTAATTGTTAATCCAATCAATTTTTTATTCTCTTAGTATCAAAGTTGTCCAAAATACCGTGCCGCGCAACTGTACGCTTAACGTTTCGTGCTAAATGAATAAAATCTAGAATTAAATGAAAATAAATAGCACCGACAATGCCTGTATATTAAACTCTGAAACACTATACAACCATTCTTCTCTAATTGACGTATTATTATATCATATTTTTTGATGGATTTGAATCTAAGACGTACCGCGCGTATACTACAAATACGAGATTCATTTATGACCATTACAGGACGCTCCTAGTTTAATGAATAAACATTATATGATTCTAATATGTACGATTCATCTACTCAGGTGGTAGGGTGGGGTTTCGACGACACGGGAGTCGCGACAGAGGAATTGACGCTCGTAGAGATGCCAGTAGTGGACCATTTGACCTGCATTCGGTCGTACAGCGAGTTCTTCTCGAGATTTACCTCAGATGACACTTACTGTGCGGGCTTTAGAGATGGTAAGATTTTCTTAATTCTTGTAATTATCTAAATATTCGCGTTCACCTTTCCGTTTCACCGTATGGATTTCATATGGCCCCTAGGTCTATAACAAATTTCATGTTCCATGTGAACTCAATGCGTTTTTTTCCTGTATACAAATGTGTGCTGGCAACGTCCTACCGTCTTCATAGTAAATAAAACTACCCTCGCTTCACCGAAAAATCAATATTGACTACTAACTATAAGTAGCTAGCTTTTATTCACTTGAGGAGATAATAATTCTAAGAATTCACAACCATCGCTTATTTATTGCAGGGTCCAGCAACCGTGTTAAAAATAATAAACGTATGTCATACTGCTTTATGTACCAAATCTTCTCTTTCTTCACTAAGCTCGGGGGCTTTGCTTTAAGATCATGAGGTAAAGGTGTATCAAACAATAAAGCCAATAATATTTCGGTTTCGGATAAAAAGGTTCGGCTTCTTAAGTTGGGGCTAACCTGCTGCCATTTGTCGTAACTTGCAAAATCAATTTGAAAACGTGCTTATACTTTAACTTCATTTCAGGAACATCTGTATGCAACGGAGACAGCGGTGGTGGCATGGTCTTCAAAATGCAAGGAACGTGGTACCTTCGAGGGCTCGTGTCTCTCTCGGTGGCTAAGCACAACGAGTACAGATGCGATACCAGCCACTACGTCATATTTACAGACCTTGCCAAATTCCTACCTTGGATTAAGGACCAAATAAGCGATTATTAGTTACAGACGTCACATAAAGGCAACGCAAAATAAATTAACCAGTAGACTGAGTTTTTGACAAAAAATGCGGTATAAAAAAATTATTACTTTTATCTCTAGAAGTACTTGAGAAAATACTTCAACCTTGTTATTGTAGGCTACATACAGTAATGAAATAAAAATAAATCACCTTTGTGCGTTTAAGACGCGATATATATTAGTTAAACTTATTTGAAAAATATTTTAAGTACGGCCCTAGGTTTCGGATGCTTTGCAGCAGTCGTGGTCACGGGGAGACAATATATATCGCATCTTAAAATGTTAGTGTTTTAATTAAAAATATACTACTCGCGTAAACTAAAGGCAGTATTTAGACAAAAATAGTTTTAAAATATTTTGCGACCCGTTTGTTACAGCGCCATCTCTAACGACACTAGGGAAACTGGTTGATCAAATCAAGACAATTAATTGTATGCAACAATAGTATTTTAATATTGTAGCAAAATCTCTATGAGACTGCATAATTTATTTTGCTCAATACATATTATTTATGTTATGCAATAATGAGATTATTATGTACTTATCTACGGATTGTAACACAAAAAATGTGATATTATATTCGCCAATAAATGTTTCTACTAAAATATTTGTATTTATTATTACACAATTATTTATTTTTATTAAACGTGTATTGAATGTTCTTTGTTCAAGTGTTCCGTATTCAGAACTGCTTTTATACGAGTAAGTTTATATATAGTATCTTAGTACAGATTTTGGTCAGTTCAGATAAAATCCATTTAGAAATTACGATGATGATTTCAAAACAAAAACAAGGGTTTAAACATAAAATCTAAACCTCATGTACAACATGTAATCGTGGTGTTTATTAATCTATTCGGTAAATAGATTTAATTTGGAGACTTCACATGCTAAAACCAACATAAAAATTTCACACAACCATGCACCATAAAATACAACATATCACAAGACACTTTTTCTTCCTGACGATCAGAAGAAAACAACAATAATCAATTAAAATTATATTATTTCACTAAAGAAAAAATACAAGGCGCCGTACAGGCAGGCCAGCAACACATTCACACTGAACATAACCTATTTTTATAACTAACACTAGTGAATAGTCTCATCAGATACGCAAAGCGATTTAAATTCTTTCGACAACAAACTGTCATCTAACAACAATTCTTCGTATCAACATTATTAGTACAACTCATGGGTCACAGATGAAGGAGCGGATTTAAAATCACGTCAGTATTGTTAACCATATCTTAAAACATCTTTGAGTAAAGTATCTATCTTTCCACCGTATACATCGTTACGAGGTACACAGAAATATTCGCAATTATAATATTTGTATGTGCTTTTGAAGCACATTGCTATGACATTTAGCACGTAATAAATCCATCTATACCAGATAGATATTTTTTATGATTAATGTCATTGCCCTAAGCAAGTACGGCTAAAAGGCGTCCTGGCTTTAAAACTGACTAAGTCAAATCTGGAGCAAAAAACACCAGTCCTCGGTGTTCACCCCCATTTGCACTTCACTGCAAAAATTACCAATACGGCCCCGTGGCGTTTCTGCACCGCGGTCCCTTGAATCCGTCCCCTGCGCCGGGGCCCCATGGAAGGTTTCGACCCCTTGACGCTCTGGGGCCAATTTTACCGAAGTGGCCGGGTGGTGGAACCCGCACATTCGCACAGTGACCTGGTCTGCAGCCGTTCCTTGGGGTAGGCGGTCCTCCTCCGAGGAGGGGAGGCGGCGATGGAAATCGATCCCAGATCTCCCCTGGCATCATACACGTTCCACAACTCCAGGGTATGTCACCTGCGAACCGAAGTAATAGGTTAAATCGTGATCAAGATGTTTGTGCCATAATTCGTGTCTAATTACAAAAAATCATAACAAATAATCGAATACAAATACCTAATAGACAATGTTATTCAAATCTACTAATAAATATCCTTTTAAAAAGACAGAAAATTCAGTTATTTAAGCATGTCATAGATTGTGGTACATTATTCTATTACAGGGTTGAATACAAACCGCACATATAATATCATAATATTTATTTATACATAGCAACTACCGGTTTGACCAATTTTGGAAGATTGTCATTTCGTTCCGCCAACGTAACAAACTCGCTACGAAAATTAACTAAGTCACTTCGCAATATGGTCCATGCTATGACAATAAAACGACTACAGGCTAATTTATATTTGGCTAACGTGACCCGACATGATGTATCACAATGATAGCGGTCCAAAACATTTAGTATGTAGACTATAACGGCGACAAGTGTCCGTTTGAGAAACAGAGAACGGCGGATGACGCTGATGCCATTAGACGTTAGGCGAGTCTAAAAGCGCTAGTGTCGTGTCGTTACTCGTCAGATCATCTTTGTCATAAACTGAGTCCAGCATATTGTGTGAGAACATTGAGAACCAATTACAATTTCTAAGAGCAATGACGGTCGTGTTAATTCAAAATATCGTCAGTGGGCATCGGAACACACATATTATAAATATCGCGATACATCACGTCAGTTCAAGTCAGGCAAATGTAAATTCGCCGTGAAAGTATAAAACACGATTATTCAAAGATCGACTGAGCGACATGTTTAAAATGATCTTCACGTACGCTGTTACATAAGTCCTTGTGACTGCGTATGAGATTTGATTGAAGATCCTTAAAGTTAACCAGTACACTGTATCGTCTACGTTACTTTTTTAAATCACATTTACTTTACCAAATTTCGAAGTGATTCGACAGCTAGGACTTCAAATGTGAAACCGATCCGACCATCAAATAAAGCAGATATAACCAGCATATTCTAAACAGTAGATTAATGATAACGTGAGCAAACTTAGTCAATATTAGTAAACAAGACTAAGGCTGTGTAAATAACTGTATTCATATAGTAATAACTAATATTTATCTACCTGGACCAAATTCAATGTTCGGTAAAAGGTCATACTACAATCGATAACAATCAGAAGAACTTTTATATCAAAATATGAATAGAAATATCTAAACACTGGAAAGATTTAATTTTGACATTTTAACGCACGTTTATTAAAAGAGTATTTCAGATTTTAAACATCACCAACACCTCAGTCGCATTGTTTTTATAACTCAGCTACTAAGTCAATCTTGTTTAACTAAATTAATAAAGAAAATTTTGAGGAAAATCTTATTATTACAATAGAGTCACACACATATCATCAATGTACACTATTTAAGAATTTGCTGTCGATACTATTAAGTCTTTAACAAACACAGAAATGTACCAATCTACATCTACCATTTAGCGTTAGATCATTCCTATTCCGATTTCGATAGCTATTTGATTATAATTCAACACATGCGTAAAACTTTAAACAAGCTATTTGATAACGAATTACCTTTAACGATTCCACTTAACCATTAGGTAACAAAATTTATTACAAATATCATAAGATTCCTTTTATGTGACAATGTGACTGTGTATTTTATGAATATAACGTTGGTAGTAGACATTTAATAATTATATATTTGATAGTCTAATGTCAACATTAAACAGAAAATAAATGTTATCGGAGAATTAACAATAGGTGTAACTTCGAAGACGCAAATCAAGACTGAATTAAGGAAGCAATATTAGCCACAATGAGTCTTAAGATAATAATTAGGCACAATTGACTTGGAACCTAGTTCTAGTAATTTATTCCTAGATGTTCAGTGAAAATTCGTTGGGACATCGAAATAAAGCCAAAGTAGCGATAGCTTTGGGAATTTTGAACAATCTAGTTTGTTGTAGACACTTTTCAAGAAACTCTATAAAGGTTGTTTTTGTTTGAATATTTCATTCATAAAATGAATTGGAACTCCTGCGATGTAGTGGTGGCACTTATGCAACGAATTTTCATAGAACCTTTATTTAATTCTAACAAGAATACAAACCTCTAAGCCAGTAGTGCTGGATGAATACCACGACTATAATTAAATTTCAGATAAGTTACACTAACACTAATGATAGTCATCAATAATCAAACTAACGAATTATTATCAATCATGGTATCCATCTTAACGAAACGGCGTCTAGGGGTGGTAACACTGATAAACTTTATAACGTGTACGGAACAATTAAATCACTGTATAATATTGTCGATGTGACGATTAGAACTGCAGTGTACGACCAAAAATGATGTTAATAATACTCAAATAGGCTTTCGCGGCCATTTTGTGTTCGGCTTCTCGACTTTTCACCATCATATCTAAATGGTATTTTCAGGTTATGAGGGTACTTCGGTTAAGTAAAGACAGTCTTCGTTAAGTCGAAAACCCAAACAGCTATATCATTATTTATAATCAATGAAATTTGAATATCTAACCAAAGGACGATAGGAGACTGAAGACGCTAGAAAAATCGTTTAAGACAAACACTGCTTTTCTAATCTTAAGTAAAACCGTGTAACTAACAAAATACGTTGAATATAATAATGTGAAAATAAACTTTCTATTGAATAACTATAGCATCTGTATAAGACGATTTAACTTACAAAATAGAATTTCATATTTGCTTTGTTTAAATATTTCATACTCTGAAACTTATAGTTTGAACTGAGACTAGAAATATTCATTAACATACACATGAACGGGGAAAGCCATTATCAAGCCAAAAGTAGATTTATTAACTTAAAAAGGAACAATCTTGTTTGAGACATTTGGATAGTATCTATTTGTAATAATTGACAGTTAGTGCAAATATTGAAAACAAATTTATTACGTTTTTGAGTTTGTTGGTGATATAAGGGAGTTGCCGGTGATAGGATTTAGGATTAAATGGAGATACTACATTAATATGAAAATAAGTTATTTTAAATGTAAATCAACAACTTTTCATGTAATATAATTTGTTGATTATATACTATATTATATTCAGAAGGAAGACTATTTATAGTACTTAGTATATTTTTCGAACTCCAATGCGCTCACCTTTCCCCTTTATTTGTAAATAAATGTTTGAAACAGGCCAATTTATATACTCTAAAGCTAATTATAAGCTAAATTATTATCACCAATTCGAATAATTGCTAATAGCATTACACAAATCATATTAGCAACATAATACCTTAAATCCATATCAAAAGTTCTTTTCGTAACATCCAATCTATTTGCTAATAAAAATTCATAAGTCTTCGCTAGTTTATTTTGTGGGAGCGAGTGAAATAGTGATGTCTTTAGAAGAGGCGAACGCATCTCTATTTCACCAATGTTCACAGTTTTGACGCTGCAGGATCTACCACGTACACTATCCCACATCGTAACTAGTATAACAAAGATTAGGTTAACGCTTATATCGCCGAACAGTTCAGAGGTCAAAATCCTAAAGTAGACAACAACGAGTAATTTTGTGCGGGTACAAGGTCCCAATGTTTATTAGTAATTCAGTGCTGAAGAACTACGATATACCTAATTTCTCAATTTTACAACGATACTTCAAGCTAACCGATTTTTTATCCTTAAAGTACTTCGCTGTAGGATAAGAAAGTTTAACTTAAAAAAAAATCATCACAATCTGTTTAATAACTATTTACAATTGCCTTGGAACTGGATAAATAACACATTTTGAATTTTGTTTATTTATGTCACGCAAAGTAACCTACAGCGAAAATACTGACGTACAAGCCGACAACTATACTCGTCTCTTTCGCCCACATGCGTTCAGTGTTTTCGAAAACGAGACAAAACATAGCCGTACAAACTGACTCGGCCATTTAACTCTATTAGGATTTAAGTAATTAGTTAAGTACAAAATACGTATTAACGACATCTAGCGAACCCCAACATTTCAGTCTAAACTATCCGTACTTCCTATCCGTTTTCGATAAATAGCCAAATAAAATATAAGACAATTGACAATTGACTTTGGCATCGTTCTATTATCGATTATTCTTAGAGATAGACATAATGTAAGAGACGAACTATCTAAGTGCAAATGATGTCTACACTCTGCAGTGTTGTGGGATTTGAAAAGTTTTATGTACACCAACAAAATATTTACATTATTAATTTAAACTCGTGAAATTGCATTTAAAATTTCTCGTTGAGTAAGGCAAAATACGAAAAATATGAATGATTAAAGGGTCATATTCAAATATATCTAAATATTATTTGCATTAGAAAGGTTGATTTATTAAAAAAAAACGAGTTTTATTCAATGCAAATCCAATTCCAAAAACTTGTTAAAATAATATAGCAAGCTTATTTGTTTATCATTTTTGCGTTTGCGGTAATTGTAGGCTTATTAACCACACTACTGCACGATAGTAATAGCAGAAATGTTGCGAATAACCTATAACTTAAAACACATTAAATAAAGATATTAAAAGGATCACAGGGTATTTTAATTCACGCCGGTTTTCTAAGCATAATAAAACTGAGTCAATAGGAAAAAGGGGCCCGTGATTGGCAGGACATGAACCGTTAGCTAATCACGCCTCCATTGGTGTCGTCTTCAATTCCGTTGAAGGACATTGACTGTCTTGTGTCCTCGTTCTATGTAGGAGATTGTGGGAAAGAGACAACGATCCATTAACTCGTTTTGGCGAATGAGTTATGTATACTTGTAGGTCCCACAACACGCACTATACTAGCGAAAACAAAAGTCCCAGCCTATATCCGCGTGTCGGAGAGGCGAAATTTTTTACAGTAGAGCCCTTTTCAAAATGGGCGATGGTGCGACATATTATACGCCGGTTGGTAATAGTCGCGACGGAAGTGCCTGTTGTTCATGGTGTTGTACATCCCGTAGTTGGCCGCGTAGTCGTGGCGGCTGTGGATCATGTCCAGCTGGTCGAGGCTGTGGTGGCGTTGCGGAAGCATGGGTGGGGCTATCCGTGCAGCGTGCAGAATATATACAATCATATAGCGGCATTATAAATATAGACGTGGTGTCTTTTGCTAAGATTTAACATTGTTTTAAATGTTTTTTGAATATTTTGCACATGATGCCACATAATAACAAAAAAATATAAAATCGATTATAAATTGAAAAACTTTATGACACGAGGACTTGGAACGGCATCCACAGTGTTCGGTTCCGTTGCTATGACCAATTGAGCTATCGAGGCCTACACATCATCGTCAATTTTGTTCAACCTATTGATACACCTGCGCAATGTAATTTGAACCTTAATGCGCAAGTGTTAATGATTTTCAATTTATAGAGATTCAGGATTTCAGTAAGTAATAATCTTTAGATAGAACAAATGTTTTGCTTAGTCAAATGTGGACTTTTAAAAATCGACGATAGACGTATTAATACACAAACAAAGCAAACAGACTAAATAGAACCAGATAATTGCACAAAATAGCTCTTGAAGGATCTCGGCAACTTTAGCGATGACTAAAACTACACGCACTTAAAAATAAAATAAAGAGAATATCACATTATTAAATTGATAATCAACATACAGATTTAAAATCTTAGAATTGGTAGAAGTGGTTATACCTTGTCTATGATTGTCTTTCGGTGATAAATATAGACATAATACAAGATTATATATACATCATAAAAAGCAAATAAATATCAAGACCGTTGGAACCAACTCACCTCGACTCTGCTGAAAACCAGCTGACCAACCGGCGTAGTAGGCAGCTTTCTGTTTTCCATGCTCTTCTGCGACCTAAAAATGAAATATACAATAATAAGAAAAAAACACCCAAACTTATACACCATAAGTAAAAAGAAGATTCTATTTAATGCATAAAATCTTTAGGCAACATACAGATTATGTGTATTGACTAAAGATGTCGCTAACATAAACTGTACGTGTTAAATTTACTTGTTTCTAGGTCTATTTAAAAGAAAAGATTTACACAAGCCACGAAAGCTTTGTCCACACACTGTAATGTTTTATGATCCCTTGGCACTTTTCACTACTAAAGAACTAATCGCCCACAATGTTTATCAGTTTAAGCTCGAGCTTCCCACAAAATCCGCCGCTATTTGGCCTAGAAGCAAAGCTGTTTTGTTTTATTTCTACTTTTCAATGGTTCAGCATTATGGAACTGGCACAACTGCAAGCGAGGGCTATTATGTATTATTATGAGACAAATCTTTTGATTGTTCTTGAAACGTTAAAATAATTTCTTACCATACATTATTAAACATTTTCTCGTTTGATTAAATATTTGTATTTTGACTAAATATTTGTATTTTGACTACTGTTGTTTATCGAGCAAAAGCGATTTCGATAATTATCTATGCCTAACCACACTTTGACATGATTCGGTGGCCGTAGATCTATCGTGGTTGAAGCCGAGCATGCATGAGATGACTGAGTGATATATTAGTGTGAGCACCGTGGTATCGCTGTGCAGGCGCGGGCGACTCGCTCGCAAGCTTGCTCGGCATTGGGCCGCCCTTTCCCCCCACTGCTTCAATACAGACCCCTCAGCCAATTGGTTGCATGCACAATGTTTTATGATTAGGTACAAATCCTGACAAACCTCAACCCACTGGAGTGGTAGATGCACCAAATTGTAATTATCTTATCATAAATTATGTAGTGGATTGGATGGATTAACTACCTCCATTTTAAGAAACTCTATGGAAATCATGTTGAGCTTTTATATTTATATATTTTGTGCTTCCTTTAATATAAACATACGTATATAGCATACATCCAAACTCAATATACCGTTTAACGTTGTATGTCTAATTTAATATTTGCTTCTGTCATAAATTTATATCAAAATCTGTATAATCCCGTATTATTTCGCACAGAGAAATAATTTCATGGATCTTTCGATTCAGTATCTATGATTTTATTTATTTTACCTCAATCTTTATTATATTTCATTCCTCTTTTTTGTAAAAAATATACTAGTATACATAGTCAAGTACTTTGATGAATACGTAAGTACAATATACAAATTATTTTTATAACCAATAAAAAGGAAAGGGAATCATATTTAATATACTTAACGTGAAAGAAAAGGAAATACTCTCTTGTTATTTATAATAATACAGAAATATAAAGAATATAAGTAAATATATAGTATATATACCTTGACACATAGTGGCTCAGTGCCGCCCTCTGGTATCACATTGTTCAGCGCAGCTATCGCCTCCTGCGCTTCTTCCCGTTTATCGAACCTGTAATGTACATACATATGTTTAATTGAAAAAAATTGTCGTTTTTAACTGAGCACAAAAATTACCTTATACATATGGGAGAGTCCTAATGTGTCTGGTTCAAGTGTGTTTTTTTTTTCTAATATTTTATATACATAATGCACATGAGAACTTCTATGAAAGATATTACGAAATAATTACATGAGCTTAATTTATTTTAAACTAAAACCCTGCCTACGCTTTATAGGTGCCGTAGTCATAGTCGTGGTTACTAATATATTTCAGGATTAAGAGATTCGGGTAGCACAACTCCACAGACCTGACAAAAGCGACACCTCTCGGCGAGCCGTTGTTCTTATCGCGCAAGATGTGTTTCTGTACTATCCGTCCGTACTTTCCGAATATCGTTTCCAGTTGCTCTTCGGTGATGGCCCGCGGTAGATTCGTCACGTACAGATTCGTTTCCTTGATATCGTCGCCAGAGGGGCGTGCGTATGATACCTAGAACGTTTAAAAATTATTCCCTTAATTGAGTGGTTCCCAAACTCTTATCTCTTAAACGCCATCTTTTATTAAAAATCAGTACTTCCATTGTACTCTACAAAAAGCAACTACATATATCAGTTGAATTTCATGTCACCACGTCTTAAATGTAACTTAACTTATCATTTCTCATTTATTTTATGAAACTGAATCGTAAGAAAGAATGTTTACATGTTGGTAAGAAAAAACACGAAATTCAAACACATGATTTAAAACGATATAGGCCACATAAAAATGATAAACAATTTTCTAAAACACTACGAGCAGAAACATCACCAATCGATTTTAAATGCAGGCAAGTGAATCCAGCTTCTGTACCCCGCAAGACCGACACAGCTGCGAAACGAAGGCTGTTGGAGCATATATAAAGTATGTTAATTAAATTATTGAATTAATGTGTTGTATATTAACTTACTTTTAACCGCTTATTCCTAAGTTGGTATCCATTGAATGTCTCTATGGCCCTAGCTGCGTCCTCCTCCCGCAAGAAGTTCACGAAGCCGAATCCGTAACTATAACCAGTCTGAAATGCCATTCGATTATTATACATTTAAATCGATTATTACTATCGATTGTCGCATATCTTTGTAATTATATGTTGGCAAGTAATGTATATTTTATAGCATTTTGATTTTGAATCTTGTGTATAACCTTTAAAAACATTCAAGTATTCAGCTGAGCCCGAGACGCCACAAATTTTGCATCTTAAGAATTAGGGCTGTCAGCATGTATAGCTAATAATCAACGGTTCGTGGGTTTGATCCCCGACGGATCCAAAATTTTTCTAATCAAATACAATTTTTCTGAAAATTTCCACCACAATTGACAAAGCCAAGTTGAATCGAGTTTTCGTTTCAGTTCGTGGATTTTCAAATATCCACAGCTAAAATGGGTGGACAGCGCACTTCGTTCAGACGGTATATGGCTGGGATATTTCCCCTACACCATGTTTGTCTGTCCTCGTTTATCGTAAAAAAATAGCTTTCAGCTGAGCCACTGTAGCGTAGTCTACCTTAAAATCCTTCATAACCCTACAGCTCTCTATGGGACCGATAGTGACGAACATCGCGTACAGATCTTTCTCCGTGACGGTCTGCGGCAGGTAGTTGACGATCAGGTTCGTTCTACTGGTATCGCCGCCGGCGGACGATATCCCACCACCGTCGGACATGCTGCCCCAAAATCTGTGCGGGCCGGGATTCGGACGACCTCGGTACTGATGTTGGATTTGCTGGAATCATTTTAATGCACCTAATTATTTATTTATGAACACTTGCACAAAAGAAAAGAAAGAAAATTCAAACGAGACTTATGTACGAAAAAATATGAATGGCGGCCTTATCGAAAACAAACGATTTCTTCCAGGCAACTCAAGATTAAAGAAGAAACCGGAAAACGAGATGTGTGCGATTGAATTAGCTACATATTTTGCTACACCGGAATGAGTGGTGTGCCTCTTACAATACCTAACAAAAGGCAAGTTTAGAAAATGGTCATCCAATGGTCGTATTTATTGACGACATTGCGAGTATATACGAAGATAAAGTGACAGGTAAAAAACCAATATAAATAAACGAGCTATTGACAAATGAACGGTTAAAGCAAATTGATTAGAAATAATATGTAACGGAATTTTAACCCGGAAAACTCAACTTGAAGATATAAAGAATGACAGAAAATACGTTTAATGATGTCGGCTAAAATTTGTAAACAAGTTCAACTAAAATACTTCGCATTGTAACCGTTAAGTGTCTTATTTAAGTTACACAAGTTGTTAAAGATGGCCCTCTGCTAAGTATGTACTTCAACTTCTAATCACTATATTTTTCAAATAGAGCACACGAGTTCTTTACACTTATAATGTATAAAACCGATCGTCTCGAACCAAGCATAATTACCAAATATAAAGCACTAGGACCGCGTTGTATATAGCCCGTACAACTGCTGAAAAATGCACCACAAATGCTAGTATTTTGGCAAAGCCTGCACGATTTTTATCTTCAATTCTTAGCACACATCTGCATCTGAAGTTTTAATCGCAACTAATTCTGTGCTTCATGAAATGCTATTTTCAAAAGAAAAATGGTGTATCACGTAGATTTTTTCGTAAGTAAAATAAATGGGGTTGTTAGTTCGTATACGTTTTTATATTTGTTTGTTTGTTTGTAGTTTGGACGCGTTATTTCAAAATGTTCATAAAAGAAAGCTGACGGAACTCGCGAGTAAGCAACACCGCACAGTTACAAACATTGTTATTATTGGAATTCTTGCCAATAAATATGTCAAGAAACTTGGCTTATTTACCCTACAGCGTGGACCGCGCGTAATTAAGTGTACAACGGAGTACGACGAAGTTGCAAATGGTTTGGGAAATTGGGTCACAACCGAACCTTGACACCATGGCGCCAGCGTTTTCCCGTAATCACTCGAATATCAGCGCTCTGCCAAGACACCAGGGCATAACCGTTAATCATATTTCTCTATAGTTGTGTAATGTGTGCCACTTTTAGCGAAATTCCGTTGTCCCTGTGTCCAGCCCGCCCGATGCAATTTATGGTTTCTTTGGGATAAACTCGCCCTGGTCCCGGTTTAACCAATTACCTAAGGTGTCTAGCATTGAGGCACACTACACAACACAACCATCTCAAAAACAATCTTGTTTCAAATGTTACTTAAAAGTGCTAACGTTGAACGTTAAGTTAAAGAAATTTAATCAAGAAATAAAAAATATGATTTTCGTAGATCATAATTCTATTATCGTGCCCTTGTTTCAATGTTTCTTTTAAATAAGTTAAAAATATATTTCAAGTACATCGTTATTATATTTCATGTCACTTATCTTTGAACCTGACCTAGATACAAGCTTACCTATATTCACAAGACCTGCATGTGCACGATACGAGTTTAATGTGAAAATTCCTTTTCCCAATATGGGGCATGGGGTTGGCACATTGCAGTTTCACTGGAGGAACTAATATGTTTTCCCAAGATTCGAACTAGGGCTTATCGCAATAGCAGCCTACGCAAGCTTAACCGCTTATACAATTTCAGGATTACAGGACTAAATCTATGTTTGAGTATATATTAAGTAATTCATAAAACACGAAAACAAAAATGCAGTTATATCATTAATTCGAACCCGGGACACGCTCACCCCTTAACCGAACACATATAACCATTGACAAGCAACATAGTATGTAATTAATGAAGTCTCGGCGAAGCTATAGCCCAAAGAGGCGTCCATTTGCTTTGGCGCGTCGCCAGCTTTTTGTAGTAAGAACGTGGAGATAGTTTGTATGGGGAGCGGAGATGTAGAACAAAACAATTGGGTAACTTAGAATGCGCAATGACGTTTAGCGCTGCTTCACGTCTTCATCTCCATAATAAAAACAGATACAAATTGTGCCTATACATTATTACATACATTGTATAATTTTTTCTCTGAATAACAATAAACAAACATAACGTGGTATAGAGAACCAATTCTTATCACAATAGGAACACCATCCTATATTATTTTCTAATATAAACATTTGCCTTTTCGTGCGAATCGTCGTCAATTTCAAACTGAATAAATTTTCGATTACTATTGCTTCTAGCACCCTATTTGTACCAAACTATGCCTTTGGATACATTGAGCTTGACAATAAAATGATTTTTAATTGGACCAGTTTCTAAGAGTTTCAAACAAGTTCTTTTACAGACATTAAAAATTATAAATAAAAGTTAAAAAGGCCTCTTACCTAAAGCAAAACCCCAATGCTAATAACAAAAATTAATCAACAAATTCAAGCAATAAAATTAAAAGTTGAAAAATTCACACAACCGAGCAAAGCAAAAACAAAAACTGAGGTATTTTTGTTTAAAGCCAACTAGATTTACAAAATGTTACAGAGTCATTTCACTTTTCATTAAATAATAAAGTAATTTAAAACTAAGACAGTTATAGTGCTCATACTGTTGTCTTGTTTTATAATTTATGTTGACTATGTGCAATATCCATTGTAAATCTTTTTCACTTTATGCATCAAATTAAAAGAAAATACTTTTATGCATAAAGAATATAGAATTTTTATCTACTAAATCCAGTAGGCTCTTTCAAATATATTTAGTTATAAAAATATGTAATTACAAGATAGAAAGAGAAATTGTCGAGTATCACATACATGTAAAAAAACTTTTGTCTTAGATGTGTGAGACATATATTTATATAAGAAGGTGATCAGCTAAGTTGACCCATTTTTTTTATCGAAAGGTAGTGTGACAGGACACGTTTGCATATGGTAGCAGTAAAAATGATATTAACTTTATACAATTAATAGTTTAAGTAATTCATGTAATAGTATTCCCAACCAAACCACGCAGGCAGTTCTATTTCACGAGCAGCCCTTTAAAAACCTTATTAGGCTGCTTGTCTAATATAATATAAACAATGTTAAAACTTACATTTTCCATGTTATATCCCCTATCCCAATTGTTGAAAGGCTGGCCTCCATAGAAAAATGGGTATCTGTCACACATTTGCAATGATTTTTCAAATTTTTTACTAGAATAATATTTTACTTAGTATTAACTGCTTAGAGTCATTACTCTATAGTATTTGTCTCCTCTTTTTAAAAAATTATCTGAAAAGTTTAAAATATTATTTATTATATGAATAACAAGTAATAAACAGTGTGTTGTATGTTGCAAAAGAAACAGAATATTTTAGCAGACAAAGGCTTAAGGAGAATAATCTTAGAAGCATTTATTTCTTAGTTACGAAAAATATTAAAGACATTTGAAACTAGGTTGTGCGTATATTATTTACGTGGGCACTTAGCAATACAGTATTGATTTCGATAATTGAGAATCCCTACAACAAGACTTGTCGTAACAGTAATAATTAACAAATAAGTCTAGCTTGTTTTAAAAGATGATAGAGTTCATTACTAATATCAAATATACTACGGTAAAGTTATAAAATATAAAAGCATTCAAATTCATCTTAAATTTCGGCTGCACATTAATAATAAAGTTCGCATCGCTATAAGCTTACCTTTTTCAGGAATATTATTATATACTTTAATAATACTTAAACTTATTTGTGTTTTCTACCAACAGCAACAATTAATATTATAACTATTCCGAAGCACAAATATCCAGAACTAGAAATCCAAATCACAATTTTAATTTTCTGATTTGCCCATAAAATTTGTCGTTAGCTTTATTTTTGTCACGAAGTTGTCACTGTAAGGTTCAATAAGTGTCAAAAAATCTTTAAAAATGTCAAACCGTAAATCAATGACAATGAAATTATCAAATAGGAATGACATAGATAATACGTTGATTTATAATATATTAATAATTGTTATTAGTCAAACTTTCAACTACTGTTTGAATTATTTAATACGCTAGCTTACGAATATATATTATTAATTATATAAACTGTAAGGTATTATATGGTCTGTAGTGTATACTATATTTTTAATTAGACTGTATGCAGAATTATTTTATTCTACTCTATGGCATGCTGACAGCAAGCGCAATTTTTTGATTTCCTTGCGGCCATTTTGTTTAGCACATAAGCGTTTTCTTCGGATTGTAGAATTCTTAGTTTTTGCGTATGTAAATAAATATAATATGGAATTGTGTTAACAACGTTGTGTATTACTTGTGCTTCAAACTGAATATTTGTCATTTAGAATCGCGTGCTATGTGGACGTAATAATTAATCTGGTAAGTAACCTAAATCATGACCATCATGATTAAAAGAAGTACAAAGAATTAGTTAGGTGATCTTCAGTTTTAAGTAAACATATTATGTGGCTTTACTTTATTGTATTACTTAAAGCGTGGTTTTCGTATTTGTTGCTAGTTGTTTCTAATGGCTAGGTAATTGTTTTTATGTTACACTTATGTTTATATGAAGAGAAACGTGTTTATTATTTCCCCAATTAAAATACCACTTTGCTAAATTTACAAGAACTTACAGCTTGGAAAATAATTTAGTTAAATATACTAAGCACTTAGAATGAAATCGAATGAAAGATAATGGAATCCCTAATGACATTAAGGTTCTGGGTTCAAATTCCAAGTTCACAATATATTTTTTTTAGTTATGTAGGATACACAAGTCAGAACAATTTGTCACTGGTAAAACCATGACTTATACAAATATATGCAGGAGAATTGCACTTTTATACTAAAGATAATAAAATAATGCATGTTTTATAAAAAGAAATATGGACAAAACTTCCCTTTCTTTATAGGAGCTGTAGTGAACATAAACATGAGTGTGATAATAAGACTGCAGAATCTTCCTTGGTCAGCCAATGCGCTTGACATTAGAAATTATTTCCAAGGCCTTTCTATTCCGGAAGGTGGAGTACACATCGTAGGTGGCGAACTTGGTGATGCGTTCATAGCCTTCAGGTAGCTATATAAAAAAATTCATAGACTTATTCATAAATCCTGTAATACCTTCACTGTGAACTTATTACAGATATTGTTACGTAGTTTTAAGTATACTTAAGGGTGTTTTTATTTAATAAATATAATTTCCTCTATAAGGAATAAAGACATTCTACAATTTCTATGAATAAACACTGAATATACAAACTGCTAGCTTAAAAAATAAGGAATAAGTATGAGAAAATATCTATTAACAATTTTCCAATTCAAAATAGTACTTAAGTAGGATACAACAAGACACTTGGAAGAGTATTAGGCATGTTCTAGGTATAATTGGTAATTCTAGTAGATGATTATTTTCCAAATGTTTCATACAGATATATTCTATATCTCTCTTTCTCTATGTTTCTGGAGTAATTTATGGTAAAGGTGTAAGTAAATTGAGTGAAATTACACATGCACATACAGTACCCACACTATAAATTACTTGTATCAATTTTAAAGGCCCTATCAGCCTGTTGGCTGGTGTATGTAATAAGTAACTGAGTAAAGAGGAAGACTGGCAATGGAAGAGACCCGTAATAGTGATCATTTCCCACAGAAGCCAGCTTAATAAAGTTACAAAGCCCAAAAGTAAATCATTTTCCAACTTAGGGTAGGTGGTTATAAGTAAGTCTGACTGTGGCATACTAGAGACTGGAATATTTGCATCAATATTCTTAGGTAAAGAGGATATCAGAGAATAATATAAAATTTCTAAGATGAATACCTGAAAAATGGTTCATTGGTAATTTGATTGAATTACAATAATATAATAATGTATATTATTACCCTAGCTGATCTACATTTCTTGACTGGACTGGATAATTCACCTATGACATTCCACAGACCTATGTCTGTTGCTTTTACCATGATATTTGAAGATTTGATTGATAAAACATATCTTTAGAAAAGATTTTTATACAAATGTACTTTATTTTAACAAGTAATTAATGTTCACAACTCAAAAGCTGAAAAATATCCCACATTCATACAACTTCTGTATGTTAAAGTATGAGGAGTAACTTTTGCTTACAATTTACTCTTTACCTATTACAAGGTAAGTTATGTACTAGTGGTTATTCTTTGTGTTGTCAATATAAGGATTTTAATTGAGGCAAAATAAATAAACACTATTTAGGCAAATAACCCTGATTAATTTAATTGACTGTAGTTACCAAATGCTGAGACTATTTAACCATTAAAAACTAATTACAACAACTACTACAATATAAAAAACCTTTAGAAAAGTAGAAAATATTCTTAAGTTTTAACTGCACTGTGCTGCTCGGCAACTGTTAAGGTTCTAGAATTCTTTATTTATTTAGTCAATCTTATACTTCACTACAAAGACAATAATCTTTTATTATGACATTAACTAATTATATTATTACAATTAGACTGTTAACCAAATCATTATTACTAAAATGAAAGTCTTCATTCTTTGTTCTATTTATTCTTGCTAGCCAGCGTTTTCCTGTTGATGAGACCTGTCATCTAAAGTTTTTTACAATTAATCTACCTTATCAATAGCAGTACCAGCATAAACCATTAAGATAGTGCTTACTTATACTTTTTGATATACATGTACAATCTAAATATGTATGGTAAAAAGTTCGGGCAATAGAACTAAGTTGTAGGTAGGTATTAGAAGACTTATCAAAAATATCCTTTTAAGCTTATTTGAATAACATAAAATTAGCAACAGTTGCTCCACTGGGAAATACGAAAATTTATAATATTCCTTTTTTATTGTGTTTTAAATATTGGACTTATAAATATTTAGTCTGTCGTTTTGACTATTAAAAACAAAACGTTTTAGAACGATTTTGATATAGGCTATACAATATGTTATTGGCCTGTTTTGTGTATAATTATTAAAGTAAATATGCGAAATTAGGGCGACTAGACGTTTAATTTAAAGTGTATAATTTTGCTACTACATTTGCTTGTCTACGGCCATCGTTGGTTTTTTCAGTAAGTACCAACTTAGATAAAAGTGGTAGGACCTCCTTTGATGCGATTGTTTTTAAGGGATTGTGTTATGGCGTATATCATCTTCCACAATTATTTTTTTGACTAACTACGTGGGGCCTTAAAAAGATTCCGAAGGTGCCTTCCGTCCGATTAGGAGCTCCAAAGGAATTTATAGGATTAGGTAGGTATAATTGAGGACTGTTTCAACAAGTTTTATGCTGATCTCAAAAACTTGACTGGTGTATGACGTATGAATGGCATTAAAGAAAATAATGTTGAGTGTCTATGACTGAACATTACGCTTTTAATCGTTATTCTGAATTTCGCTAACTATGTTAGCCAGCTTGGACAAGACTTCAGCCAGTAGTTGGTTCTTACTTCAACTTCTCTAATAACCAAAGATGCCGAGAGACCGACCTGAGCAAAGTACCGGGGATTCCACGAAAGAAATGTACACTGCTGCTTGGCACGGCAATGCTATCTTACGCAGGTCTCAACTGGAAACGAAATAGTTACTAAGATGTCCCGTCTGTCTACTATTACTCGAAGTCCTAAAAAAACTCCTTTCATTTGTAGATATTTTCACAGAACGACTAGAAACTTTTTAAAGACGCACTTTCGCCCACAAAGATACAAATTAGTTTATACAATTTGTTAACTCTTAATTTTCTGATTAATTCAAGACAAGGATGGAATATGTGACTCGAAGTTCGATTAGTTTAGTTGTATGGTCAGGGTTGAATCTGCGAACCAATACTTAGAGATGCTGATTGGATGTGAATTAATTCAACACCAACAAAAACGTTTAATATTTTGGCTGCGATGAGAACTTAAAATATAAGGGTTTAAATGCTAAATCAATTACTATTTTTCAAAAGTGTATGGCGTAAAAGTAACATAGAAAACTTTTTAGCTTTTAATTGAATTTTTATTTTAAATACAATAGAGCGTCCACTTACCCTACACACAATTTTAATCAAATTAACTTATTTTTACGTAATCGTTGCTTGGAAATGTAAACATTATGTTGACAAACTTCGAGATAAATCGACTTCCTATGCTGGTCGTGCATCGGCCGGCAAGAGTTGTATAAAAATGTATCTCAGTTCTGTTGTGTTTAGTGGTCAAATAACGATGGAATGATCTTCTACTTCGCAACTTGGCGACCAAAGACCTATCAAAGATTTAATTTAAATTTCTAACTGGCTTGCACAAAAAATACATTGGCGCTTAAAAAGCAATTTATTATTCTAGTTATTGGTTGTTCGTGAAGTTCGTAATTTCTTCAACTAGGCATTGATGGACTTATTTTACACGATCGACCATAAATGCCTTACCTTGCCGGCCGCTGCAGTAACGTACTATTAAAAGGCGGGGCTGAATGCATTAAACGTATTTGATATAGGAGTTATCATCATAATACTCAACTAATAACATGATATCGTTGGCCACTTAGTCAACGCCCTACTGTGCTTCAAAATCCAATTCCTCGACCTTACAAGTGTTTTGTATGCGCATCGCTGCTGCGGATACCTATGTCTAGATTCGTATACTAGATTATGTCGAAGAGCTCAAAAAATATTTACCAATAAGTATAATTTACTCTATATACTACGTTAGGCTCCCCTAGGTAGGTACTCAAACATTCATATCTAGACTATGATTGCTTAGTTGATAGGTTTGCAACACAACAAAAGCTGAAGGTCGTTTGGTTTGTGTTTTACTTCTTCATACAACATTTTAAGTGATGCAGAACTACTATTTGATCGGTAAGTTTGATCTAGCGAGTTTATTTATTTCTCGAAAGCTTGACATATTTTCACATTTTATTGCACACGATGGCGAAGGAATGACACCGGCGGGGCTCGAACCTGGAACATCACGAGAAAAGCGCAAATAGGATGGACTGAATTCAACGATAACGCGTTACGGTAGCTCAATTGGTAGAGCAGCACAGGTTGGAGTACCGCCCGTGTTTTTGACTTCTTTTTAATCTAAAATAAGCGAATGAATTGAACGTTTGACATCATTTTCATAACGTAAAGAATATGTTTACTTAATTTACTATTAATACTTTGAATAATTAAACATTTGTTACAAACTATAACTTAGTTATAAATTGTTCGTAATAGGTATTGATTTAAATTGATCTGAAGCAGAATATCCATTCTTATCAATCTCACCTTGTATTATATATTATGAAACTGTTAAATTACTTATAAAATAGCCTTACTGTAAGTTGGAATATAAAAGCTGCTTTAGATACTAGGTAGGTTTTAACGTAATTTAAAGTAACATAATCTTACGAACTCAGAGAGAAAGTTTATTTAATTTGATAACAACCGCTATAATATCAATAATAAATCGTCAGTCTTCAGAACATAAATAAAATAAAAGCTTTAACTTCTTAACCTTATTTTATTGAAATCATTTAAAACACTGACCAAATCTGCAACATTTGAATTAAAGTCTACCAAACTGAACTCGCGTTCAAATTGTCTTCTTTATATTGAGTGTCTCGTCAGTGGCGTAGCTAAATGGGCAAAGGCTCGTTTGCATAGAGAAAGAATCGGGACCCCCACCCCCTCTTTCTATGTGGCTTGAACTTTGATTCCCTTCAAAATTATAGATAGGAATAATAATGGAATACAGGATACGGTGGGATGAACTTCTTATTAGTAGGGTAAATCCATAAGTCATCTATGACGGGTAGAATTACTGTGTTTGATAAAAGAAAATAGGATTAAATACGCAACGAAGCACATAACAGTATAAAACATTGATTACCCATATGAAATCAATAAATTCAGAAAACACCGATTTTTATAGACTTCTTGCGCGCTTCAATTTTTGCGGATTCATCTATAGCCTCACTCAAATTAAAGTTTGATGCTGCCTTATTTTCTATCGCACTTAGCGCTAAATTTCGGAGGCGATGAATGTATTCGAGATCTTAAATCGGGAGTTCTTGTATTGTTGATGTTATATTCATCTTAAATCATGAA